TGTCTGTGCTTCCCTATCCTGGCTGGGACTGCCATCACCTGATGGGCTGTCTCTCTTCCTAGACTGTGTGCTCTGTGGGGCAGAGGACGGCTCAGCCATCACCGTGTCTTGGGAGAATATGTATCTCACTGACTTTTTCATGAACCCCTATGGGTGGCTGGGCCTAGATTCTCCCAACCTGATCTCTAGCTCTTCTCAGTCCAGAGCCTGCCAGATCCCACCTTCCTCATGAACACCACCTACCAGGGTAGTGCCCCTACCTGGCTTACTCAATCTAAGCACACGTGAGGTAACAGAAATGGTTCATCTCACCTGCCTGCCAACACAGGATCAAATCACCCCCTCCCTGCCCTTCTACTGTGGGAACTGCACTGTAACTGTGGGCATCTGAGGGGCCTGTCCTGTCTACAGCCCTTCACAGTAGACAGACATCACTACAGGGACCATCCAATCACACTGCAAGGAGCAGATCTGGAGGTCTGACCCACCCATCCAATTTCCACCTGGGGGATTTGGAATGGGGACAGATGGCAGATGGGAATGGAGCTGGAAGGTCACACAGAGCTGGAGCCAGGGTCTTCCCAGGAGCAGCCAGCTGCCTGCAAAGGAAGGAAGCAGCAGATGTGGAGAAGAAGCCACAGGGTTAGGGTCACAGGGGCAATGCCACTGTCCCAGCTCCTAACTCCATTCTGTTCTCACAGGGTCCTTGGTCTTCTCTGTCACTGTCCACAACCAATCCACTGAATCTCTATATTCAAAACGTATCCAGATTACTCACTGCTACTCAGGCAGTTCACACCTATGCCACTGTCATCCACCAAAGTTACTGTGGTCACTTCCTCACTCATTTCCATCTCCCTTCTTCCACTGATCTGATCTGAGCCTGGACTTTCATATCACTGACCACTCCCAAATTCACAACCCCCTTCCTGTTCAGCAACACCCTCCTTAGTCTTCCCCTTACAGTTACCAGCACCCCTCTTTTCTCTGCCCCATGCTCCTCTTCCTCACCCTATACCCACACTCCAAGTCCTGAAAACTCTCCCTTCAAACTATATCCAAAACCTGACCACCTCTCCTGCTACCACCCTGATCACACCACTACCTTCTCTCAGCTGGACTATTGCAGTGGTCCCTCGTGTAACCCTGATTCTACCCTGGTGCCCACATGGTGGCCACAGGAGGCTCATTAGAACCTAAGATTTTATCACTTTAGCTTGAAAGGCGTTGACTGCTCCCCAACCACTCAACACCAAGTCAAGTCCTCACCACAGTCCATCAGGCCCTGAAATACCTTGCCCTTGTCTCTTTCCTGTTCTCTCACCCTGTTCATACTGGTCCATTTTGTTCCTTTCTTTGCTTCTATCACATCAAGCATGCCTCAGGGCCTTTGAACTTGCTGTTTTGTTTTGTTTTTTTCCTACCTGAAATGTTCTTCTTCCCCAAATATGGGCAAAGTTGGATTTCTCCCTTTTGGTCCTTAACATTTTCCTTATAGAAATCTCCTTAACCCCTCCCTGTGAAATAGCCCCTCTTGTCACTGTATCCCTTTAATCCTCAAAGGACAGTCACAATATTTAATTATCACTTGTCTTGCTCACTAGAATGCAGCCTGTATGATGACAAGGGCTTCTGGTGGTCTTGTTTGCTATTATAATGCCAGCAACCACAACAGGGCTTGGAATGGAGTAAATACCCACTATCTGATGAATCAAATAAGCGAATGAGACCCTGGGATCAGCTAGGATGCTGTGGGTTCCAGGCGACAGGAAATGCAACTTGACCTAAATGACCAAGACCTAGTGGGCTCCCTGGGGAGACAGCCCAGAAGTCACCTTGCTCTGGGTGAGGCCTGATCTGGAGCTCAACAGATGCCTTTCTGTCTCTCTACCAGTCCTACCCAGAAAATGGCCTGAGACCACCCCACTATTCACCTACTACTTTTTAAACATCTATGGAAATTTCCATGCTGATTAGCATGATGCTGATATCAGCTAGCATGTTATTCAGGACTTATTCCTTCTCTGTGCCTTTACTTCCTCATCTGTAGACTAGGAATAATAATACAATCACTTAGCGTGACCTGGAGGATACTCAGTGAGCTAATACAGAAAACAAGTGAGGCTTTTTTTTTTTTTTCTGGAGTGGGGCTAGGAATCTGTTTTGTTTGTTTGGTTTGCATTTTTATTAATAATGCATTAGCTGCACGGGCCGAGAGGGGGGTCATTGTGACATCTACGTATGTGCTTACAATGTCTCTTGATTTGATTCACCCCCTCTATTATTCCCTCTCAAAATGGGTAAGTTCTTGAGCTAACAGTAGCTGTTTCAGTTAGCTATTGCTGCATAACAGGTCATCCTCAGACACAGTACATAAAATAGCAACCACTTATTTGCTCATGACTCTGCAATTTGGGCAAAGCTCAGAGCATGAGGGCCTCAGGATGGTATGGTTCCTATTCCAGGTAGTATCAGCCAGATGCTGGGTCAGGACCTCCAAGATACCACCACTCACACACCTGGCACATCAGCTAAGACAGCTGGGACACCTTGGGGACGACTGGGTCTCTATAAATAGAGGCCAGGCACACCCAAGGCTCAAAGCAGAACCTGCCAGTCCTCCTATTTTTGAAACAGTGTCACTTCCACTGAATTTGATTGGTCTAAACAAGTAATAGGCCAGCCCACATTCAAAGAAAAGGAAGAAGATCTCCCTCTTGACAGGAGAAGCAGCAAAGAATGTGTGGTTGCTTTTAACTGCAGCTATTTTAACCTTACAGCCTTGTCAGTGTCTCTGCATCAGTTAAGAGTCTCTAGTAAACTCCTAACACAAAAGGGAGAGGAATCTTTTAAAACACACAAGTAACCACACTCCCTTCCACTGCTTAAAATTCTTCTACAGCTTCCCATTGCACATGCAGTAAGGAAACAAACTCCTTACAGGATGGGCACAGCCTAGCCTCTTGCTCCGTCCTGGTCTCTGGGTTCCAACCATCACACACTCTCCTTAATTTGTGGTGCTGGGGATGCAACCTGCATGCTATTCTGAGCTACGGCCCCAGTGGCACACTCTTCTCTGTTCAAGGAGCTAATGTCAACTCCTTCATGGCCTTAGATCTCTTCCTAGGATCCAGACTAGAGTTCCTACCAAGTGCTCCACCTTTGTAATTTCACACTGAGGTGATTATTTGGCTGCCTGAACCCCTCCCTGGAGATTGTAAGTTCTTTGGAAGCAGGAAAACTATTTTGTTCAATGCTATGTTCCCAATGCTAAGCACAAAACAGAGGCAAGATGAAATACTTGTTGAAAATCTTGAGCCCTTAGAAAGTAAAAGGTAGCCCTTTTGAGTTACGTAGGAAGGTGGAATCCCCAGCATGCTGGGATCTAGATCTATGCTCTGAAATTGTTCATCTAAAACAGTCAGTGAGCTCTACTGTATGCTGAACACTCTTCTGGGTGTGGGAGACAAAGCATGAAGTAGACAAAAGCCTCTGCCCTCATGAAGCTGAAGGTCTGGGGGTAGGGGAGGCAAAAATCAAGGCAAACTTTACAGTATGATAATTATATGATTCATATAGGGAAAAGCTACAGAAGGAAAAATGGACATGAATGTCAGCGCCATAATTTTTGGAGAGCAGTAAGGGAAGATTTCAAGGAGAAAGTGACATCTTTAGTGACCTAAAGGAGGGGAAGGACTGAGTCTGAGTTACCTGAGAGATGAGTGTTTCAAACAAAGAGAACAGCAAGTGCAAACGTCCTCAGGCCAGTGTGGATGGAGCAGAGTAAGCAAGGAGAGTCGACCATGTCACAGAGGTGATGAGGGCAGGCGGTGTAAGGCCTTGCCAGCCATGGAAAGGATTTTACCCTGAGTGAGATGGAGCCATGGAATGACTCTGAGCAGGGGAGGCACATGACCTGATGAAGGTGCTTGCTCACAGAGTCCCTCTGACTGCATGTGAGGAAAGACTGTGGGTGGGAGCAGGAAGACCACTGAGGAGGCTGAAGGAAGAGTTCTAGTTGACAAGAGATTACTCTGGGAATGCTGTTCTAGACAAACACAGAGGTTCTAGGTAGGCATCAGGAGCTCAAAGGAGAGGTTCTGGGCTGGAAATAAAATGTGAAATACACATTTCCACACCTGTTCAAATTCCTTACCGGGCCTATGTGCTCTGGCCCCTGGTGATGATGTCAATGGCACACGCACGCACGTACACACTCACTGAGCCTACTTCCTAGCTGTGTGGTCTTAGGCAAGTTACTTAACATCCTCTGCACTCAGTATCTTCATTTAAAGAAAAAAGATCACAACAGTACCTGCTTCCTAGTGCTGTTCATTCAAAATATTTTTACTGAGAAGGCTGGTGTAGCTCTGTGGTATAGCAGGTGTCCAGCATGTGTGAGGCCCTGGGTTCCATCCCCAGCACCCCTCGAAAAAAGATTTACTGAGAATCTACAATGACTGTATAGGTGGAGGGAGTCATTTTCTTGTTCTGTCCTCTCCAGAGCACAGGAGAGATCCTCCTTCCCGCCCCTCTCTACCTCTTCCTTCAACGCAACCTTCTGGACGCCTCTCCCACGTGCCCCTTCCTACCTTCCCTACCATGGCCCCTGCCCTGATCGATCGCTGACACCTCTTGCCTGGCATCTGCTACAACCGCCACGCCCCCGTCTCTTTCTCGTCAATTTATCTGCACATGGGAGCCAAATTAGACCATGAGCCTTTCCTTCTGGAAATCCTCTCATAGCTACTCATTGCCCTGAGGACAAAGTTCAGCCCTCTAGATGATCCAGAAAATCCACCACGACCCTATTTATATGAACTTTCCAAATAATCTCCAACACCACCAGATCACCTGCAATTCACCAACTACAAGCCCTTTGCCATCGCTGCCTCTACACATGCCATTTCACCCCCCACCCCGCGCCCCGGCCCCTAACGACCCTTTCTTCTTCAGACCTCAGCTCAGACGCTCCTAGTCTTCCAGAAAGGTCTCCCTACCTGTGCTTCCTCCGAGTTCCCACCGCGTTCCACGCTTTCGCCATTAGTAAACAGGTACAGGTCCTAATGGCGTCCTCGCCTGTCTCTCCACCGACCTGAGCTTCCCGCGAGCCGGCCCAGACAGCAGCCAGCAACGTCCCGCGTGATGGGAGGCGCTTCAGCCCTTGGCACCTACCGCCAACTCCGGAACCACGAGTGCCTAACCTGCGCGCTGTCAGGGCCCACCTTTCCGAACGCTCTGGAGAACTCCACACCTGCGCAAAGCACGGCGCAAACCACCCAATCACGGCCTGCTTTGCCTCTACTGACCGTCCCACAAACCCAAGGTCCTGCTTGCCTCTGACTGCCGATTGGCTACCTGAACGCCTGCCCCAAAAAGTATGCGCGGAGGATTCTGGTCTTTGTAGTTCTCTAACGAGAAGCGGCTAAAGATTGTGCCCCATAGAACTCCATTTCCCAGGAAGCGCCGCGCCCCAGCAGCAGGAGTCCATACCCTTTGAACCAGGCGGTTCTGGATTGGACAGTTGGGAGGCGGAAGTTTCCAAATTGCCATGGAAACAAGACAACTTACCTGGAACCCTGGGAGTATCTTTTTGCCTGAGACTCTTGAAACGCTTTGCTTTGCAATGATTCCGGAGTAGGACCGGACATGGATGGGATAAAGTCTGTACTCATCTCCTGCCTGTTCCCCAGATGGCATCAAGGAACGCGTGCTAAATGCACCCAGAACCAATTGGATGCCTGCCTGGCATAAGGAGCCATTCCTGTGCTGGCTCCCTGGAAGCCCTGGCTTTATGAGGGCAGAACATGATGTTTTCCAGAGAAAGGTGAGCCTAAGTGGGGGGTGGAGGGCTTTACTTTTGCAGGGTCTCAGTTTACCCTAGAAAAGGCAAATGTGGGCTAGAATCCTATCCAGGATGTCTACGACTCTGTAGCCCCCTCCTGCGGTCCCATGCCTGTTCCAACAGCTATAACTACCCCAAAGGAACATACCCACACCAGAGCTCTCCCAGCATCCCTTCCCCAAACCCTTTCCCACCAGGTCTCTGAGGGCCAGGTGAGGGGAGCCAAGGCCCTGCAAACGCTCAGGCAGGCATGTGAGAAAGCTCTTTACTGGGGGGTACAGCGAGGAGGAGCAAGGCCATCTCCCCCTACCTGCCCCCACCCCATCCTAGGGCCCAGGGGTGAGGGGGGTTCTCCCCTCCACCAGACCACCACTGTCTTTGGTACAATAAATAGAAAACAAAGGGGGAGAGGGGGCCAAGGGTTCAGTCCTTGGTAGGGAGAGTGTGGCCAAACCCTTCTCCTTGACCCCCCTGCCCCGGGCCCCAATCAGTGCAGGCCTCACCCACCCCAGCTGGGTAGCAGCAATTCCAGTCAAGGGGGAAGATGAGGATGGGAGCCCAGGGCCCCCAGATGGGGGGTATGGCTTCAGGAGGGGCCCCAGGGAGGGGCAGGGTCATGAGCTGGCTGCTGTGCTCTGGGGTACACCACGGAGACCCAGGCGAGGCCCCAGAGAGGCAGGGTCATCAGGGGGTGGGAGAGGTGGGCGGCCTCCTGTCATCCGAGTCCGGAGGGCTGAGGCAGCCGGGTGCTGGGGGGCAAGTGCTGGGTGAGGTGGAGAGTCTGGAGGGCCGCCCACCAGGCTCACATCCATCAGCTCTGGGGGGGGTGGTGAGGTTGGTGATGGGGGACGGCCAAGGCATCGGGGCTGGGGGGGTAACTGGGCCCCCGGCCCCGGCAGTGACGAGGCAGAGGTAGGGGCTTGATGTGTCTTGTGGGGCACATCGCCCCCTGCCCAGGGACGCAGCGGCTGGGAGGGTGGAACCTAAAAAAGCAACAGTGGTGAGTGATGGAGACCCAGGTTCTGAACACAGGTACCCCACCAATCACTTCCACAGCCCTCAAAACCCAGTACCTGGGGGCTGTTCATCTCACAGTCAGTGATGGGGGGCCCAGGGCCCCCACAATAGCGGTTGCTGTAGCGGTAGGTCCGGTTGTCACTGGAGGAGCCACTGGAGCCTCCTAAAACAGAGAGAAGAGGCCTCAGGTGAGGAGAGGGGTGGTTTGAACGTGGCCCATGGTTTGGGCTCAGATTTTGACTCTGGGATCAGAACCCATCCGAAGCATCCAGTATAATTTTGAGATGTGCATGAGTCATTTGGGGTGTTAAAGGGTCAGAAGCAGTTTTACGAGTCTGAGCGGAGTACAGACATACTGTCAAGGCCACGGGGGGGTCTCCCACCCCATCTCCAAGTAACAGTGCACCATTAGGCAGTTTCAAAGCTCTCATGGAGGCCCCGTGGCAAGGTAACCCACACCAGCCAGGCCAAACAGGAGCCACCCCCACCCTGCGGCACCCATCCGGGCACTGAGCACCCACCCGAACTGGAGATGGAGCTGGCGGTGCTAGAAGAGGGGCAGGTGTCGAGGGGCGCGGGCGAGGTGGAGGCACTGCTGCCTGCCGGGCCCGTGTTGGTGGCCTCGTCGGCCGTGCGGCGGAAGAAGCCGTGCTGCAGAGCCCCCAGCGGGCTGATGCGGGCGGCGGGCTCATACTCCAGCATGCGCAGCACCAGGTCCTGGAAGCGGAGGTAGTCGGCGGGGCTGTGGCCCGGCTCCCCCGCCCGCCGGCCCCCGGGCCCGCCCGTCTGCACGCCCAGCACCTCCTGCAGCCGCCGTGTCCCGGGGCCCTGGTAATCCTGGCAGGGAGGGGGTGGGAGGGGGGGCAAGAGAGTGGCCGTCAGTGGGCAGGAGGGGCAGGGAGACACACACGGGGAAACAGAGGCACAAGAGAGAAAGTGGAAAGAGAAGCTAAGAGAATTGTGGGGTGGGAAGGAGAGATGGGGTGGGCAGGGAAGGAAGGAAAGGACAGACAAGGGGAGAGGAAGGCAGGGAAAGACACTGAGAGAAAGCAGGGAGAGAGGGAGCCCCAAGTGTGAGAGAGTGAGGGCCAGCCCGGGAAGGAGGAGTGGTGCGGGGCAGGACCGCACCTTCCTGAGTTCCTTTGTCCTTCGTAGGGTCCAGCCACCCCCAGGCAGCCGCTCAAAGTACTTTCGAGCCTTGGGGGCCTGCTCCAGCATGGGGGCTGGTGGGATGCCCAGCACCTCCACGATGCGACTCATCTGGTCCACCTGCAGGCAGGCTGCGGTCAGGGGCCCCAGGCCAACCAGCCTCCACCCCACACCCTCCAGCACACCGTTCCTGGGGGCACACCTCATTGGAGCCACTGAAGAGGGGCTCTCCAGTGTGCATCTCTACCAGGATGCAACCCAGGGACCACATGTCGATGGCCAAGTCATAGGGCGTGCCCAGGAGCACCTCAGGCGAGCGGTAGAAGCGGCTCTGGATATACTGGTAGATCTGGAGAGGAGGGTATAGTCAGGGCTCCCAGCCTCTCCTGCTGGTCCCACTGGCGTCCCTCAAAGCTCAGAGGACTCAACTGAGCACCAGCCCCCTGCTGTGAAACAGGATGGAGGCACCAGATGATCCTGTTCTCAGCACAACACTGTCTGGAGACTGCCACGATTCTGCTCTTCAAACTCGATTCCATGCTCTGCTGGTCTGGTCTGATCCTATCTCTGTCCCCTGCCCTGCCCCTTCTTGGCCACCAATCAGAAGCTGGCAGTCCTTAAGGCTCTACATTAGTACAACCTTAGGACCTGCAGGTCCCCTCAATCCCAAAGTCAGCAAAGCAGCACCCAGGGCTGGGACTAGCCACACCACTTGCCACAGCTGAACTTCAAAACCAGCCCTGTCCCTTGTGGGCCTCTTGTTTACCTCCTTTCTTAGCCCACACTCCACAGTGGCAGTAGCCACCCTTCCCATATTGCTCTATCTCTCAGGCATCCTCTGCCACAGCAAGGGATAAACCCCCACCCTGGTCACACCCACACCCCCGGCCTTGCCCTGGCCACTCTGAGCCGCACCCGCTGGCCGAGCTGGCAGGAGCTGCCAAAGTCTACGATCTTGATGGCGCTGCGCTTGGGGTTGCAGAGCAGGATGTTCTCAGGCTTGAGGTCGCAGTGAATGATGCTGAGCTCAGGCGTGGCCAAGAAGAGCAGTGCCGTGCACAGCTGCTGGGCCAGCTTCCGGGTCAGGTTGAGTGAGACGCCACGGAAGTGTGTGTTGCGCAGGAGGTCATACAGGTTGTAGGACAGCAGCTCAAACACCAGGCACAGGTGGTTCCGGAACATGAAGTGCCGCTTCAGGTGCACTGTGAGGAAGGGCGACAGCCGACATGGAAGACTGGCAGTGGCCTGGGGCCACACAGCGATGAGTGCCTCTGCTTCCTCATCACTGGCCATATTGTGGGGTGCCACCTGCTAGTAGCAATGTGTTCATTACGGCAAGTAATGAGACTCACACAGAAACTTCATTCTTTTTTCAAGTTTCTGTAAAAACTTCTGATTAAACCAAAAAGGGTTGTTAGCTCTTAGTCTTTAACATAATTCTCCACTTCTCCTTTAATTTTATAACACAGTTTTCATCTTTGTTGTATTTATTTTTGTGGCAAGGGATGGTGGTTTTCCATTTGCAATAAGGATGTAAATTTTCCTCTTAAAAAAATAGTTCAGTGCCTTTTCCAGTAGGAATCAATGTGAGAGATGAAAAAAGACTGGCACAGGTGTTAAGTCACATTACAGCTCTGCTGCCTAACTGTACAAACTGCCACCTCATGTAAGTTTCTTGTCTGCAACACATGGGCAATAATGCCCCATCCCTCATGGGGCTGCAGTGAGGTAGTTTATGTGATGTGCTTACAACAGAGTAAACTGACCACCGTTATCAAGCCAATGGGCAAAAATCATGAAAGTAGCAGGAGAATCACTAAGAATCACTGAAGCAGAACAGCCTAGCTCTGAGGACCAAGTCCCTTCCTCCAGGGGTGACCCCCCACCTCAGGCCTTACCTATGTAGTACTTCATCTCTGTGTCATGCTGGTTCATCAGCTCCAGCAGCCGAAGCTCAATCTGGGCCTGGTTCAGGAAGGCCTTCTTGTTCTTGATGATCTTGATGGCCACCAGCTCTTGGGTTTGATGATCGTAGGCTTTCACCACCTGTGGGGGCAGGGCACCACAGAGAATGAGGTGGGGGCAGGACAGAGCCAGGCAATGTGCTTCTCCAGGGACTGGGCACTGGTGTAAACACTGGACACAAAGTAACTCAATTCCCTTATGTGGAAGGTCTTGTTACTTGTATTTCTACAGAGAATAAAATTTAGGCTCAGAGAAACTAAGTAACTGGGCTGGGGTGAGTAGTCCCACTTAGGCCTTAAAGCCATAGAACCACTGTGTGGGGGGATGGGGGAGGATGGCTCATGTTAGTATGTGCCAGTGCTCCCAACCCCTCACCTGGCCAAAGGAGCCTTTGCCAATCAGAGAGTCAATCTCATAGCGCTCCAGCCAGCGCTCGCCACTGCGCACAATGTAGTCATGGTTGTCGTCATCATAACCGTGGTTTAGGACCCTCTTCTCCTTCTTGGTGCTTGAGTCCTGGGGTGGCACTTGCTGGGCCCGCCGCTTCTTCTTAGCATAGTACACCTACCCAGCCAGCCAGCCAGCCAGGAGACAAGGACTGGTGAGTGACCTGTGATGGCAGGCAACACCCCTAGATGCACCCCAGGTACCTACACCCCACCCACCTCATTGATGTGCTTGTAAGTCTTGATGAGGTCCACAGAGAGCTTGCGCAGTGGGGCCGAGGTCGCGTCCCGGAAGGCCAGGGGTAGCCTCCGAGGCAGTAGCCGCACATCAGGCAGTACCTGTGGGATGCGGAGAGGAACAGACTCTGAGCACTGGCCTTCACCTCCAACCTCAAGGGGAAGAGCTACAGCCGCTGGCTCATCACAACCACAAATGTATTTATCTCCTCACTGGCCTGCCACTAGAATATAAACTTCCCAAGGGCAGAGATTTGGATCATGTCCTTGTTGTATCTCTAGTGCCTTGAGGAGGGCCTGGCACACAGGGGATGTTCCCTAGAGATCTGTCCTGTGAATGAAGGAGTGGACAATCTACCCTTGGCCTTTCACCCAGACCCTGGGTCAGCCTGTTCACTCCACACCTGAACTCTGTTCTGAACCTCAGTGGGAAAGATCTGGGCAACCTGGGCTCTGTCACCCTAATCCTTCCACCTGAGACCGTCTATTCTGGGAATTCCCCATCTCCATTTACCCTCACTTCAATTCTGAGCATCTCTGCCCAGTTCCTTCACCCCAGAGCCCTTGGCTCAGGACCCAGCCTCCTGGATCTCCCACTTTCACTAGGCTTCAAGCTCTACATGTGAGCTTTACCAGAGCTTCCCTGTAGCCCCAAGAGTTTCAGCTCATTCCTCCCCCCATTTGCCCCCTCCAGACCATTCACTCTCGGGAGTTTGCTCTGAGCCAGGCACTGTTCTAAGCAGTGTGTGTAGGGGTGTCATCAATGGCCCATTTTACACAACAGAACATGAAAGTATGGAGAACCTCAGTAATTTAGCCACCATAGCATTTGAACCCAGGCTTTCTAAACTCTGCTCTGCCTGAGACCCTTCCAGTCCCATGGTGACCATAATGGCCTGTGGAGACTGTCCTGTCCAACCACACTGTCTTCTGGCACTGAGACCCTTCTATCTCAGTCATTCTTTACCCCAAGAAGGTTAGGGGCCAGCTGAATGCCTACCTGCGTGTGCTCCTGGGGCCCCGGGAAGCCAGAGAAGGGGCCATGGCCTGGTGGGATGGCCATGGTGGGCTCAGAGGGCCGCAGGGGTGCGAGGCCTGGAGCGGGAGCCCGGCCGGGGGGCGCCTTCTCGCATCCTGCACCTCGGCTGCCACCGCCGCTGAGACCTGAGAGCAGGCAGGAGGTGGGGAGGCGACATGGAAGAGGGGGTGTGTGGGACAGGGTGAGGTAGAGGTGGTTATGAGAAAGAAGGCAGGGCAAAGAGGAGAAAAAGGATGCAGCAGAGCAACAGGTAGCAATGTGGAAGGGACAGGGAGAAGTGGCCAGGGGGGGTGGGGGGGCACAGCAGAGTCCCTCAGGAAATGAAGAGTAAGTAAGTGAACGAGGCAGGGCAAAGAGAAGAACATGTAGGGGCCAGGCAGGGGTGGGAGGGTGAGCAGGAGCCATGACAGGAAAGGAGGACAGAAAGAGACCAATAATTGGAAGGAGGAAAAGAAGACAGAAACCTGCAGGTCTGGGGAGCAGAATTGTTTCTTCCCTTATCTATTCCTATTTCCCCCCAGAATCACTCACACAAGACCCCACCTTCCAACAGTCTTCCCAGAACATCAGGGTCTCCTCTGTACCAAAACAAGAACCCTTCATGTCAAGCCTGCCATTCCCAGGGGCTTTCCCTAAACCACATGAGTCTTCTGGGATCCCTGCCAATCCACAGCAGAGTCCTCTGCAGACCCCTAAGTCCACATCAGGGTCCTTGGGGACCTCCTGGTTACACCAGTTATCTGAAAACCTCTACAGAACAGTCCTAATACTATGGCTTTCTCAACCACAGGGTGCACCTTTCCCAGGGGGCCCTCTCCATATCCTGCCCAGACCTCTCCCTGTATCAGGTCTCCCACACCAGGGACCATGGCTCCAAGTAATCTCTCTATATTGTATTCCACTCCCCCTGGGGCACACTGTACAGAACTTTCCCCACATAACCCAGGACTCCCTCCCAATCAAGGCCCACTCCTTGCGGAACAAGGGGATGTCGTCCATGATTTACAGCAATCGTCCTTTACTCCCTCACACTGGATCCTTGCTAACCTCCAATCTCCAATATTCCTACCAGATACCTTTTACCAGTTTCCCCTTTCTATACCAGGTCACTCCACAACTGTGTCTATTCCTAGAAGGCCCCCACGACCAAATCCCCAAATATCAGAGTTCTCTCTTCCTAAGTGTCCCCTACAACAAAATACTGTTCCCCACGGGTCTCCCACTATGTCAGATCTCTTCTATCCCATGCCTTGCAACTCCAGGACCCCTAATTTCTTGCAGCTTCCCCCTATGACAACCTTTTTCCCGGGGCCCTTCCCACACTAGGACCATCTCTCCCAGCCCCCACCCCCTACCGGGGTCAGGGCTGGCGCCGGGCCCACGGGGGGCTGGGGCGCGGTGGGGCCCCCAGTGGGGTGGACGAGCGGCCAGCATGGCGGTGGTGGCAGCGGTGAGGTTGCCGCCTGTCCCCGGCCCGGCCGGCCACGCAAGCCCCGCAGCGGTGAGGGCAAGCGGGACAGGCAGCCCGGTGGGTGACAACAGCAGCAGCAGCCGCGCCGCCGCCGCCGCCGGGGGCGGGGAGGGGAGGGCGAGGGTCAGCCCGGGGCACGCGGGGGAAGAGCAGAGCAGGTGGACGGGGGAGGGGCGGGTTAACCCTCGCCCCACCAGCCCCGCCCCACCTGGCGCGGTCACCCGCCCCCGGGGACCCTGCCGTCCCGCCCCCCACCAAGGAGGCCCGCCCAGGTCGTCGGAGACCCGGCAGGCGGGACCCAACTGAGCTCGGCAAGCCGCACCTCCCATGGCAACAACTGTGCCATTGGTCGTTGCTGCCAAGAGCGCAGCCAATCAGAGCCCGGGGCAGGTGTTGCTAGGCGACAGCGAAGCGGCCGGCGGAGTCGAGCCCAAACAAAGGGCGGGAGAGGGGCCCGACTACCCCCTTCCAGCCTCCCTCTCAAGACTGCTCCCTCGGGCTCGGCCCCTTCCAGGAATCCGACTATGAATAGCCAGGCACGGCCCGCACCTGCCCGACGCCCCCCTCTTCTCCCTCGGCCTCGTGCTAAGCCTCGCGGCGACGCAGGCAGGGCGGATCCCGTTCTACCCTCCTCCCCGCGAGCGCATGCAGCCCCGCTCGTCACCGCGTCGTTACCTGAGGGCGCGGGTAAGGGGACTCAAACTGCTCGGGCAGCCCGAGCTCAGACCTGCCCACGGGCTGAGAGTATCCGGAGGACGCGATGAGCCCGGGCCCCGATTACCCAGTAATGCAACCAGCAAAATGGCGACCACAACAAACCGCCCCCCCCCAGCCCCGGACTCCGCCCCCACCCCCTCCCGCTCTCCTCACGTGACCCAGGGTAACATCCGCGCCTGCGCTCTCCTAGTACTTATGGGCGCACATGTGTAGCAGGCTACCAATCGCGCCCAAGCGCCGAAAATACGGTTATAGCTGTGCAACAAACCGCGAGGAATGGAGCATGCGCTGTGTGACCGGATGAAGACTTTCCAACCCCCACCCCAAAGCAAAGCTGACCAAGGGCGCATGCGTCCTGTAGTGGTCACGGAGCAAACAGCAGCAGACGGGAGTGACAAATGAGTCTTTTAATTAAAAAAAAAAAAAAAAAATCACACGTGCAACAGTAGCAACACACATCTAAGAATCCAGGCAGCATCTGGCTTCAGTTCTTCACCTTGGGAGGTGGCCTGTGAGAAGACAGGAGATAGGGTCACCACTTTGTGAGTCCCCAGAACCTTGGCACTCTGGGTGCAGGGAAGAGAGCTCCTTATCATGTGGATTTCTGGACCCCATCTTACCTGTACACGCCCACAACCACAGCGTGGTCTCTTTCGTATGGCTCTAAGGTCAACTGCTCCTGGGGCTTCATGTTCTCCTGCTGCATCTTCTTCACTTCGGAGGCGAACACGGCCTCAGCTGAGGCTGTGGAGTCGATGCAGTTGGCCTAGAAAGAAGAAAGGACTTGAGGTCTGTAGCTTTGACCTGTCTTTATCTGGTGCTCTTTTAAGCCGTTTTCACTAGAAACTCAAGTGAAATCCCAGCTTTGGCAATGTCGTCAGACTTCACAGTTTATAATTTGGTTTGGATTTGGAGCAGGAAATTCTACCTAGCTTAAAACCAGTGTTTAAATTTAGGGTATTTTTTTTTTTTTCTAATTACTCCTTTTTTTTTTTTTTTTTTTGGTGGCTGTATTGGGGGTTTGAACTCGGTCTTGTGCTTGTCAGGCAAGAGCTCTACACTTGAGCCATGTCTCCAGTCCCCTATTTCCTTTTAATCACAGTAATGCAGCTGGGAATGACAAAATAACAGTAGCAAAAGGCTAACACCTATCATTTACCTAGTATCCTATGCCAGGATCTGTTCTAAGCATTTCACATATGTTGATTACCTTAATCCTTACATCAACACTTAGAAATAGGAGTAATTCTGTTACAAGTGAAGAAACGAATCACAAAGTAACTTAATAGCTAGAAGTCAAACTCAGGTGTTCAGACTCAGCAATCATGCACTCCATCGCCACACTTCCCTCTTTAAATACAAAACTGACACCCCATCTTAGATTCCAAGCCCCACCACACCTTAATGGAAATCACAAAGTGTCCTCCATTACGCAGGAAGGTGTGAGCATTCAGAGCCACAATCCGGGTTTGGTCTGGCTGGGCCACATCAGCAAAGATCACATCTACCATTGCTAAGGAGAAAGACATCGGTTACAAATTTGACTCCACCAAAGATCCTCCCAGATCCTCCCATGGGGCCTATGCTCCATCACCAGCAGGTTCCTGGGGGTCTCCCTGCCTCCAGTCTCACTCCCCCCAAACTGATCCCCCTCCCTCCAGTGTCCCCAAGATGGGTCAGAAACCCACAGTCACATCACTCATTCATTCCTCTTGTAAACCATGGTTGCCACCTACTCTGTGGCCAGCCCTGGGCTGGGCGTGGGGGACATAGAGATGAGTCAGACCCGGACCCTGCCCTCGAGATGCTCCAGGGTCTGGGGGGGAGACAGACACATCATCAAAAAGACAAGTAAAAGTGAGCAGTTAAAGGCAAGAGCATGTAAGGACTGTTGAATGAAAAGGAGCTGCAGGACAAGGAGGAGTGGATGAGTGCATGAGAAAAAAAAATGCTCAGAAAGAAAAATGACTGGAATGAAAGTAATGGGAGTGTAATGGAAACCGATTCTTTAAAAATTGGGAAAAGCAAATAGCAAATGTTTTTTTCAATCACCTCTAGGGGAAATTTAAAAAATAATAATAATAAAGTCATTTATATTCACAATGGCCCCTCTGGGCCAAGCCCTGCTCAGTTTATGCTTTCTGGGCTAGGATCTCACCAGACCCTCTTTTCAGGATCCCTGAAAAAAGCTTCTAAACACAAGCCAACGGCAGTAATATAAAGTACCATGTTTTGGAGGGAGGCAGGAAGTGCAAGGGGCCTAAGGAGGGAGGAGATCAGAGAGGAGGTTCCCTTCCCACAGTGCCAGACATCCGAACCCCTAAAGCAGAGTCACCACCTCTACCATCTCACCTGCCTCTCCCACCCTGTCCACTCCCGCAGAGGCAAGAGGCCCACCCATCCACTATAACCCCTGGGTTCCACTGGTCTTCCAGGAAACCTAGAGTGGCTTGTCCTACCCATCCTGGGCCAACCCTCAGCCCCTCACCGATAAGCATGCGGTATTTGTGTGGGTGTCGAGCATCCTCAATCACAGGAATAATGTTGGTCCTCTTCTTGGCCAAGTTGATGAGGTCACGGCCAGAGCGGTGGGAGAACTCGACTGCATAGACAAGACCATCCTAAAACAAATCCAATAATAATTTATAATGACACTGGTCCTCAAGTATGCAGCCTTCTTTGCGCGCATACACTACACACAGCATTTCTTCAAGACCTCCAAATCAAAACCCTACCCTTGAATGAGGATCATTTAGTCCACATTCCAGATGAATAAGCTGAGGTTGAAACATGAAGTCACTAGTAAGCAGTGAAGCTATGCAATCCTCTTTGCCTAATCTGAGCCAGGCTTCCCAACAGGGGTTTAGAAACAAGCGGCCAAGGCAGAGATGAAGTAAGAGCAAAGAGCATTTGCAATGGTCCAGGCACTTACAAGAATTAACTTGTTTAATTTTCACAACAGCCCTGTACTCCAAAGGGTTAAACTGAAGCTCGGAGAGGTTAGGTACCTTGCTAAAAGTCACATAATTATTAAATGCCTACCAAAGAATCTGAGTTTGTTTTTTTTGAGACAAGATCTCCTTAGCACAGACTGGCTCAGAACTCTCAATCCTCCTGCCTCTGCCTCCCAGGTGCTAAAATTACAGGTATATGTCACCATGCCTGGCAGAATCTGGGATCTTTAACCACCAAATTAAGCAGCCTATAATTGTTTAAACAAGAGGTCGCAAAGTACCAGGTGCCCTCCATATGGGAAACCTGTATGGCCACACAGATAGAAATGCAGGCCCAGAGCCTACACCTTGAGCCACTCTGTCCAATGCTATACAGTCAGGGAAGCAGCTAGGCCCCATTCCGGATTGGGAGAGAGGCAGCCATTCCTTCACGTTCCTCCCCTGTCATCCACTCACCGGGCCTACGATGTCAGAGACGTGGGAGACTGTGGTGCCTGAGGCTGCCCCCAGGTAGAGCACCTTGGCTCCTGGCTTGATGTGAATCTGGTCCACGCCGCCCAGGATTGCCGCTGCCAGCTTGGAGCGGAAGGGGTTCCATGCTCGGTACTCAATTTTGTCATCTCCCTCCTGGCCCAAGAGAGATGAGAAGGGAAGTCAGTGCTGGGCTCTCCCACAGGACCCCATTACCCTCCACTTTAGGCCCTCAAAAAGAAACAGGGCAGTCCAATCACTACGTATGAACTGAACGTGCATACCCAGCAGTGACCATGACAGACACTGCCCCTGTCCTCTCATGGAGGCTGTTGACTCAAGGAGAAGAGTGACAGTAAACACCCAGGGTCACAATAAGACCTGGACACTTAGTCATCACTTCTCAAGCCAGTACCTGTTTATGCCGCCCTGGCCCTGGTTCCAGGCACTGGGGACACAACAGCAAACAGGACATACATCTTGCTCTTAACAAGCATAGACTGTATTAACCAACTAAATAGAACCTTGTCATATTAGATGGCGACAGGTGCTATGTAGAGAGAGACCAAATGCAGAGAGAAGACCTGAAGCTCGTGGAGCAAAGCAAGGAACAGGTAAAAATGAGAAAGGGGAAGCCAGGAAGGAAGACCTGGAGGGGCAGAAGGAGCCACTGAGCTACTTGGGGAAGAGCACTCCACGCAAAGGAAAAGCAAGCAGGAAAGCTGTGAGTGGGCTGTAGTTGGCCAGAGAAACGAGACAGGAGACTAGGGCAGGGGGTGGGGCAGTAAGAGCTGCTTGACAGACAGGGTGAGATGATGTGCCCTCAGCCTAAAGAACAGCTGACACCTGACCAGAGGCCCAGGTGAGAAGGAATTAGTCTGGCACGGAGCTGGGAGAGGGAAGAATGATAAGGCCAGTGGGGCTGGGAGGCACTTGCTTAGAGGGATGAATGGAGAAGGGGGGCTGAAGTGTTCAGGCCCTTTGAGGCCACAGTGGGGTGTCAGCAGTTCCACCAGAAGGCAAAGGGGAGTTCTCAGAGGCATCTGAAAGCATGCATGGTCTGGCTGTCACATGTAGGACACATGGTAGTGACAGGGAGACCAGGCTGCTGGTGAGACCATCAGCCTGGTGGTTTGGACAGGGGTCCAGTCTCACCGAAATGGAGACTCTTTTCTCCCCATAAACAGATTCTCCAGGGACCAGGTTCTTGGTGACGAGTGCATCTTCCTTTCCACGACAAATGAAGACACCTGGTGAAGGGGTTCATCCATGTCATAGCAGGTATCAGACTCTCATTCCTTTTATCAGGTGTGTGTGTGTGTGTGTGTGTGTGTGTGTGTGTGCGCGCGCACGTGTGCATGTGTTACTGGGGTTTGAACTCAGGGCCTCACGCTTGCTAGGCAGGCGCTCTACCACTTGAGCCATTCCGCCAGCCCGACACCTGGTGAAGGGAGAAGAGCAGGTCTGAGGCCTCCGGGCTGCACCCCACCTCTGACCTCAGTCAGTCCCCGACTTCCTCACTCACCTTCATGCCGGTGAGGTTCCACCATCACATTCTTCCCTGACTGGTTTCCTCTCTTTCCTCCCCGGCCACGACCCCTGTTGCCCCCAGCCTGGAAACCTCCACCTAAAAGGGAGAGCTGCAGTAGGAGAGGGACACCCCTATCTCTTCCCTCCCCACGCCCCACGAAGGCCTCCCCCTCCTTCCTTGCCATCCTCACTCACCCCTTCCTCCTCCTCCTCCTCGTCCCCGAAAGCCTCCGCCTCCACCTCGACCTCGGCCTCCACCAAAGCCTCCTCGGCCTCCACCAAAGCCTCCTCGGCCTCCACGGCCTCCGCCACGACCACCTCTGTCACCAAAGCCCCCTCGGCCACCGAAGCCGCCCCCACGGGGACTGAAGCCTGCAGCAGAAACACAAACAATATATCAGGGCAATAAAGTTTAAAAGGCTAAACAGTTCCACTCAGGTGAGACTGGCGAGGCACACTCCATGTGCACCAGGGCACATGTCCAAGAATGCTCACAGCTCACAGCAGCAGAAAACGCAGGACAAACCCAATGTCCATTGGCAGAAAGGACCAATAAAATGAGGAATATCATGATCAACAGTAAAATGACCTTCATTCATACAGCACGGATAAATACATCTTAGTGAGTGTGAAAACTCCAAGTTCTAGGAAAGCACATCCACACAACATCCTTTTTATGAAGCTCAACAAGAAGTCAACCTCAACAATGCTGGGCTGTGTTGATTTATGTGGTAATCCCCACCCCCCACACTCCTCCAAAAAGAGGCAAACTTATGATTCAGGTTACTGATCAGGAAGGAGACATTATGGGGTTAGGAAGGAGACGGAAGACAGATATAGATGTAGGTTCAGTCAATTTTCTAGTTTTTATGGAGGTGGGACACATATCCGACAGAACCCATTCTATTCTTAGTTCTGCAAACCCTCCATGTGTGCATGAATTGTGGTAATAAGTTCCCCTAAACCCTGGAAACATTCTCACACTCTCTAATCCCCGCCCAGCCGGCCCTGTGTCTGTATAAAAAGCAACATCCCACAAACCAATGCTCCCTAATTCAGCTCTGCTTCCAAGTTCGCGACACTCTTCTCATCTTGGGAAAAGCAAGAAAAGTCCCAAATCATCCTTTAAGGATGGGCAACAGTCTATAGGCAGTGTAGAGGATGTCAGTAACATGAAAAAAGTTGGCTGGAGGAGTGGCTCACATGGTAGAGTGCCTGTCTAGCAAATGTGAAACCCTGAGTTCAAATCCCAGTACCACAAAAAAAAAAAAGAGAGAGAGATGAAAAAAGTTGAAGAAAAACCAGTTTCTGTCCTTTCACTTCAGGCTAGAGCAAACATCACTGTGCACAGAACGTTATTTGAAGGAGACAAAATTCTGGTGCTAAAAGACTTGGTATTTGATTTTTCTGTGATGGTTTCAAAAGCTCTGAGCTACTTCTCTGAAAAAAAATCACACGTTAGTTTGGAACCATAGTTAGTTTGAAAAGCAGTGATGGCAGTGTAAGGCCATCTCATGACGTACATTGTTATTCAATAATAAACTTGCTCATTATGTCCATGCCTTGTGACAGCTTCACAGGTATTCTCTTAAATGAACATGTAACTGTTCTATTTTCTCTTTGCTTGTTTTTGGTTTTTCTTTGAAAATATAACTTAATAGACATTCCTAATTTAATTCTTTTATTTTAAATTAATTTTTATTGGCAAAACTGGCAGTTTTTGAACTTAGGCTCTCTTGCACTTATTAGGCAGGCACTAATACATTGGTTGAGATGGGGTTTCACTAACCTTTCCCCTGGGCTAGCCTCCCAATCTCCACCTCGTGAGTAGTTGGGATTACAGGCATGAGCCACTGTGTCCAGTTACTTCTTTTTAAATTTTTTTCTTGTACTGGAGATTGAACTCAGAGCCTCAAGCATGCTATCATTTGGACACCAAATGAGACTGGACACCCTCCGTCTCCTAGCTTAATTTTTTAAAAACTTAACAGTTTAATTTTCAAAACTTAGAAACATAACCAATTGTTGTTCATTTCTTTTCTTCTACTCCCTCTACAGTCTACTTTCCACACAGCAGCTAATGGTTGATATTTTTTAAAATAATAAATTAGATCTCATCATTTCCCTGCCCAAATCCCTTCAAGGGTTTTCCTTCCACCACTTCCCAAAGGAAACCAGAATATCAAAATTCCCTTCTCTGGCTTACAAAGCCCTCCAACAGAACCTAGAGATGTTGGCTTCGTGCGCTGGACATGGGGACTGTTTAGAGCTCCCCAGATGATCTAACAGGTAGCACAAACTGAGAACTCCCCTGCCAAGGCCCGGCCCCTGCTGACTTTCCCAACAGCTCTGTGCTGTGCTCCTGCCCACCAAAGAACAGTCCAGCTTCTCATCTCAAATGTTTGTGGGTTCCCACAGCTGTTCCTACTGGCAGTGGCACTGCTCCAATGCATTCAGGTTTCTGAACAAATGGTACTGACTCTGGCCAGGTACTGGTGGCTCACACCTGTAATCCTAGCTACTTGGGAGGCAGAGATTAGGAGGATCACCGTTCGAAGCCAGCCCCAGACAAATAGTTTGCAAGGCCCTATCTCCAAAAGAAACCCTTCAAAAAAAAGTGCTGCTGGAGTGGCTCAAGGTGTAGGCCCTGAGTTCAAACCCCAGTCTGCAAAAAAAAAAAAAAAAAAAAAAAAATAGAAAAAAGAAAAAGAAAAATGAGCAAGTGTCTTCTAGAGTCTTAAGCCCCTAGGGTCCTCCTCATAGAGAAAATACCCTCTTTTCATTCAGAAAAGTGACTGGATGGTGACCAGGAGTCCTGATCCCATCCTAATACATCCCCTACAGGGAGATGGCTATGCCATTGTCATTCAAGACCCCAGAGAGTAGGGAAGGTTGCCAGGAGTCAGATTCCTCATGAAGTTGTAAAGATTAAATGGTTTTACACACACAGCACTTCAGATAACACACAGCTGGGCACATGATTTGAAGACCCTGCTCCCCTCTACTTAGAGGAAAGGCCACTAGGTAGGCGTGTGAGCCTCTGAGGACAATTTCCACAACTTCACATTCAACCATGCCATGGAGAAAGGTTGAGGGAAGATGTCCCCTCCATTCCTGAGGGAATCAGGCCAGGGACCAGGCATGCCAGAGTCTTAAAATACACAGCCTAGGCCAGGTGCTGGTGGCTCATGCCTGTAATCCTAGTCACTCAGGAGGCAGAGATTAGGATTGTGGTTCAAAGCCAGCCTGGGCAAATAGTTCATAAGGCCCTATCTTGAAAAAAAACCCATCACAAAAAAGGGCTGTCTGAGTGGCTCAAGTGGTAAGAGCGCCTGCCTAGCAAGCATGAGGACCTGAGTTCAAGCCCCAGAGCTGCCAAAAAAAACAAAAAAATAAACAAAACCCCACCACAGCCTAGCAGCCCCACACCTACTTCCCACTTCCTGAGATCCCCAAACACTGAAGAGAAGGGGAGAGTGGGAAGTGGTGCCAAGGTTCCACAAATTCCCTGCAGGTGACTCCCATCTGTCCATACATGCACAAACACAAGAAAAGAAAACCTGTGCTAGGGAAACAGACCCTTTTGGGAACTGTGAAAAAAAACCCAAACAGTCCAGCAAGTTATCAGTGACTGAGGGAGAGTGAGAGTTTGGAAGGTCTGATTTAGGAAGCTCCAACACACAGGTCTCCCTATGGCCCTCCATGGTAGTGCACTTCTGTAAGCTCAGCTACTCCGCAGGCAAGAGGGATGTGAGTTTGAGATCAATCCAGGCAAAAGTTAGCAAGACTCTATCCTAAAAACAAAATAAAATGGACTGGGTCAACTGGTAGAGCGTTTGCCTAGCGAGTGCAAGGCCCTGGGTTCAATTCCAATACCGGAAGAAAAAAACACTAACTTTGTTCCCCTTGAGAAACATAAGGGTAACAATTAGAGCCATCACTCTTACATATCAAGATTGTGCTATATACTAAAAACTACCATCTCACTTAATCCTAACCAGATGACTTATTACTGATGAGGAAACTGAGGCTAATAAGTAAAACCACTTGTCCAAGATCACATAGTAGACTAAGAAGCTGAGCCAGAAATGAAACACTGAGGCCCTTCTATACTGTCAAAGCCAAGACTCTCTTCAGTCCCCCCATGAGGTGGGTTCATCAGAGAAACGAGGGGAATAGAGGAATAAAACTACTCACATCCTGTGACTACTCCCTCTCCACCCGTTAATGCTGGGCTTCTGAAGTTTCTCTTCCTGCAGAATTGGAAATCCACTCCGTGTCGCGGGACCCGCCCCCGCCCCAAGCGCAGAGAGCGGGAAATGGGGCCAGAGAGAGTTGCACACTATCCTGGGGATCCTGGCCAAACACACAGTGAATTGGGGGAGTACATGGAGGGAGACAGCTTAGATGGATTGGGAGCCTACCTAGGAAATGGTGTGGTGAGCGGAGACTGGGTGGGGAAGCGGGGCTTCCCAGACCCAGCTCCCGGTCCGAAGATCAAGGACTCTCGGTCTCCGACTCCAAAACCCATGTCCAGAGATCCAAGACCCTAGATGCCTATACCGACCCCAGCCCAATTAAAAATCCCCTACTGGCGCTTCTGTAAGATGAATTCCAGGTCAAGACTCTCAATCACAGGCCAAAAGAAACGCCCATGACCTCCGAAGCCGTCACAAACCTCCAGATCTCCTGGGGCCAGGACCGATTGTGGGGCGGAACCAGGACCCCTTTCCCACAGAGACAGGATCCCAGGCTCAGAACCCCTGCCCCCAGACCAAGGCCCCGCCCCTCCGACTCCCGCCTTTCCAAACTTTCGATTCCCGCCCACCCACTCCCTGCGCCCCGACTCCAACTTCGGCCTATACCTGGCTTCATGGCAAGCGGTGAGTTTCTAGGATCCGGGAGTCTGCGGCGTCCCTGACTGCACGAGTCCGGAGCTTTTCGCACGTGGAAAGGAGCGCAGGCGCGCGGCGCCGTACGACGCGTGACGCAAAACGTAGCCCCCACCTTCTGCCCCGCCCCGTAGCTCTGCGCGCGCGCGCAGTGGGCGGGGATTCCCGAGCACCTGGAAGCACCGCCCCCTCACCTTGCCCGGGGCGCTCCGGGCTTTTGCTGTTAACTGGTTTTTACCCAAACACACCTCCGGGTTTCCCTTTACTGGTGCAACCCCTGCAGTAATCAGGATTCCTACGCAGGCCTTCGTCCGAGCTCTGCCCTCTGCCTCTCCTCTGAGCAATGATTCTTGGTCTTAGATTTATATTTCTGATTTTTTTTTTCCGGTGCTGGAGATCAAACCCAGGACCTCTAACATATTAGGCAAGTGACTACCGCTGAACGACCTCCCCAGCCCCTCTGCCTATTCCTAACTCCCTAAAGCTCCCTGTACCCTCAAAAGCCTTTCCTCACCCATTCCCACCCCCAAGACCAGTCACCTTTTCTGGGCTCCCATCTGTACCTTACAAAGACAATTACTGTGCACCTGGATGTACTAGACACTGGGAATACAGCAGCTAACAAGATAAAAATCCCCATTCCAGAAGGACAGCTTTTTAAATGCAGGAAACAGCAAATTAGTTAATAAAACTTGCTGAATATTAGAAGGTACTAAGTGTTTTGGAGAAAATAATAGAAAACAGGGATAGGGATCAAGGGAGTTGACCTTTTTTATAGGGTGGTCAAGAGATGCAATCAGGTGACTTTTAAAAAAATTTGGGGGTGACTGGTGAAGTGGTTCAAGCGGTAAGAGTGTCTGCCTAGCAATCATAAGACACTGAGTTCAAACCCCAGTGCCAATGGTGTTAGGAATTGAACCCAGGGTCTTGCAAATGCTAGGCCAGCACTCTACCACTGAACTATATCCCTAACCCCAGGTGACTTTTGAGCCAAAGAGGTAAAGGATGTAAAGCATACACCTATCTGGGAGAAGAGAGCTCCAGGCAGGGAGCAAAGGCCCTGGGCAAGACAGATGTGGAGGACTGGAGAAACAATGAGAGGTGTGAGCAAGGGGAAAATGAGAGGACACGAGGGTTGGGAGGTAATAAGGGCCTTGTGGGCCCTCATGAAGACTGGCTTTTAGCCTGAGTGAGATGGAGCCATGGACGTAAGCAGAGAAGGAGCATGACCTGACATGAGGGGGTAAACAGTCTGTGGGAGTAAGGGCAAGAGCAGGCCAAGGAGGGGCCCTGCTATGGACCAAGGAGGAGACAGAGATGAACAAGATCAGAGAGTGTGGGGGCAGAGGATGGGGTGAGAAGTGAACAGATTTTGGATGGATACTGAGAATGTTGTGCTGTAGTATTATAATAATAAGATCCATTCATGTATTTATTCCACAAGGAAAAACAGAAGTGCTGCTTTAAGACGTTACTAGGAACCTACAAGAGAACCAGGAGACTGTAGCTCAGATACTGAATCTAGTCCCTTCACTGCTTTCTCATTTAAGCATTTGTTGAATGAATGAATGAATGAACCCGTCCTGTTTTGACTTCTTCACAGTGTGTTGTATTGTACAATGTGACCATTTTGCACACAAACATGTCTGAAAATTTGTTTAGACATTAGATGAAAAATCTGCTTAAACTTTTCAAAGCCATGGGATTAAACAGTTGAGTCTATTCTGGATTTTTTTTTCTTTTTTTTGGTGAAACTCAGAGCTTTACACTTGCCAGGTAGGTGCTTGAGCCACACCTCCAGCCTTTTTTGCTCTAGTTTTTCTAGAGATAGGGTCTCACTTTTTGCCCACAGCAGTCTGAATAATGATCCTCCTATTTATGCTTCCTGCCATCACTGGGATGACAGGTGTGTGCCACCACGCCCAACTCACACACACACACACACACACACACACACTGTTGAGATAGGGTTTCACCCAGACTGATCTGGAACTGTGAACCTTGCAATCTGACATTTGTGTGCCACCACACCCAGCTATCAGTTCAGATGGGATCTTACAAATTTTTTGCCTGGGTTGGCTTCAAACTGTGATCCTCCTGACTTCAGCCTCCCAAGTAGCTAGGATTATAGGCATGAGCCACTGGTACCTGGCCACTATTCTGAATTTCTAGGAGCTGTTCAATAATTCAAATGTGTGCAATTTAGGATAACATTACCTCATTCGAATGGGTTTTACTGTTGGCTTTCTAATCCAGATACTTTCTGAAGGACAAAAATACTCAGTGCACTGCAGATTTGGGTTGCCAGCCTAATTCTTGGAATCCTGGTACTGTCTCCTGGTACCTGGTACTTCACCTGGCAACTCATTCAGCACTCCTGAAATTGATACTATCAGTGAATAATTAGTGGGGTCCAGGGACACAATAGTGACTGAAACAACCCCAGGCCATGTAATTCTGGAGTTGTCAGTCCAGTAGAGAAGACAGATTGGTCTCCACACAGGGTATGCCCAGAGAAGTTGGGACCAGGGTTAGAGTTTGAATCTCTCAAAGGCTCATGTGTTGAATGCTTGGTCCCCAGCTGTTGGCACTATTGAGAGGTGGTAGAAAATTAAGGAGGTGGTTACCAATTAGCTGGCTGGGGTCCTTTTGCTCCACCTATCTTGAAATCGCAAGTGGACAAGGAAAAGCCCTTCTAAGTATAGACAATCCCAGTCCCTTGAGCACCTAGCACTGGCACCCAGGGGCTTACAGCTCCAAGTCCTGAGAGCTATTGCCCAGGCTCCAGGCTCTCAGGCTGGAGGCTTATTGCTCTGGTCTTTAACCAACAGCAGCCTGGCACTTGCGAGCTCTTGTCATCCTTGGCTTCCAGCAGCAAGGAGCCGCAGCAGCAGGTAGCACCTAGTTGTGCTACAGCTCCTGAACAAGCACTGGGCGTTGGGACCCTTATCGGTTACAGGACCCTTGGCTCTTGAGAGCAGATAGTATAGTTCTTAGGCCTACAGTTATGGGACCCGTGACCCTTGAGGCTTGGCAACTCTGGAACTCTTGTAGTGACCAGGGCTCACTGTTTACAGTCTTTGGCGTTTCCTAGCAGACCCTTTATCTCTTCCCTTTCTCTGCGCCCCTCCACTGGGCACTCTGGAACCCGTTCACTGCTATGCTGTTGCCTTCCCTGCTACCAGGGCTCTACTTCTACCATCCATTCCAGAGAAGCCTTTTAATTAGAGGGCCTAATGTTGCAACACCAGAGGGCAGTACAGGACCGTGGCTTCCGGCTGACTCAGAGGGTGAGCCACCTTAAAAGCTAAAGCTGGAACTGCCATATGATCCAGTGATATTGCTCCTGGGCATCTTCCCAAAGGAACAAAAGTGAGGGTACAACAGAGACATCTGTACCCCGATGTTCATCGCAGCACTATTCACAATAGCCAAGCTATGGAAACAACCCAGATGCCCTACAACTTATGAGTGGAGCAAGAAAATGTGTCATATACATAACGAAGTTTTTCTCAGCCATAAGGAATGACAACATAGGATTTGAAGGTAAATGGATGCAATTGGAGGACATCACGTTAAGTGAAGTAAGCCAGGCTCAGAAAGACAAAGGCCACACGTTTTCTCTCATATGTGGAAGATAGATCCAAAGATAAACATATACACAAAAACAAAAATGACCATATACAAACTCAGATGTAGAACATGTTTGTAACAGTGGAAGTGCTCTGTGGAACTTGGGGAAGGAGGGAAAGGAAAAGTGATGATAGAGCATCAACAATATTGTGAAACATAATGTGAAGGTAGAGGATATAAGGATGTGTATTGAAGGCTGTTGAAAAATGGGGGTTAGGAGGTAAAAGGGTAAAGGAGAGCAATGGAAGGGGTTGAACAGACCAAAGTAAAGTATACCCATAGCGGGAATACATTGAAACACCCCTTTGAACATCAACTTAAATTTCATTATTAAATAAAAAACAGGACTGTTAAATAGGTAGAGTGTATGGGGAGGAAGTTGTAAGCAGGGAAGGTGAGTGAAGATTAAGATGATGGTGTATGGTTGATGAACCTCATATACTTACATGAAGTAGAACAAAGAAACCTCTTGCAGTTGCCTTAAAGGGAATGGGGAAGGGGTAGAAGGGAGGGATGGTGGGGGTGAGCTAACCAATGTACAATATACGCCTATTTGGAATTTTCACAATGAATCCCCCTGTACAATGAATATATTGTAATTTAAAAATTTTTTTAAGTGAGCCAAACAGCCTGCATATATAGTCAGAAAATGTGGGAGGGGAGGGGTGTGGATATTTGCACTAATCAACGTACAGTCCTTCTTCATGCAAATGAAGGACTGTGCTTGCACTAATCACAGGCCTTCTGCTAGGCCACCAGGGGAAGTGCTCCCCCTCTGGGCTCTGGGTGAAAACGGCTGTTAGAGTTCACTGAGGCTGGTGATAGCAACAAGCCTGACACAAGCTGTTGGAAACAGTCATGGCTGGAATGGTGTCTTCTGGAGCTGGAGTTGTATTGTACTTCGGTAGCAAGCAGCTGTGATTACTGTGTAGCTTCCTCAAAGCATCCTGGTTCTGGCACAAGGGCAGTTCATCTGGCAACTTAGTTGATAGCCTTTGCTCAAGGCAGCCAGGGTACCAGGGAAGGATCTAACAACTGTTAATTATGAAGTCAAATCACCCAAGCCCCCAGCATCTTAGCTTATTTAAAGGACAAATAATCATTAATCAAGGTACTTTAACAGTATTTAACAGTGCTCTGACAACGCTTAACTCTTGCCGCAGTGGCCCAGAGAGAAGTGGGTCCCTCTCTGTGCCTTTGAAGGGTATGTGTTGTCCTGCCCTCTTCCTCTGTCTAGATTCTGCTTCCAGTTACCATGAGGTGAAAAACTTTGCTCCACCCTGCCCTCCTACTGTGGTGTTCAGCCTCACCACAGGCCCAGAAACAATGGAACTAGCCAACCATGGACTAAAACCTCTGAAACAATGAGCCAACATAAATCTTTCCACTGTTGCTTTTCTCAAATATTTTGTCACAATGATGAAAAGTTAACATGGCATGGATGACGGAAGTGCAGGCAGACAGGGCACGGCTGAAGAAAGAAGCACTTGGTGCTTTTCTGGATATTCCCCACTTCCTCAACTCCCTCTGGACCTTTCTTTTACTTTCCTGCTCTAACCATCATCTGATCTCCTCTGAAGACACAGCTTTCCATGTAGTCTTCCAAGCAGAGGGGTTTACTCCTCTTCCTCCCTCATTTCCACTGGACCTGTAGATGGGATAAGACCCTTCTTACTTCTCAATGCACTTCTCTACCATCCTCTCTGCCTTCTTCCAACTCACACCTGCTCTCATTGTCATTTTAGGATCCAGGCTCACTGCCACCCACACTTCTCCTATCATTATTGGTGACTTCCAAGTCCAAATAGATAAGCCTGACCATTCTGGCTTCTCAGTACCTTGCTGTCTTCCCCAGGGAGGTTTGTTTGTTTGAGAGAGGGTCTTGCCCTTGAACTCACGCAAACTTGTGATCCTCCTGCCTCAGTCTCCTGAGTGCTAGGATTACGAGCATGTGCCACTGGATCCAGCTTTTCTCCAGTGACCTTGTCCTTCACCCAGCCCTTCCCTCCCATGGTCACACTGAGACTTTGTTCTGGGGACAAGAAGAATACTCTTTGACCAGTGAAAATCAAGAATGGTATTGCATGAGACAGATACACTGGCATACAGCTTGGCTTGAGATATTTACTCAACCGTGACTGTGATAACCCCAGAGGACCCAGCGTTCTGAGGGAGAAAGACCCATCTCCAGACAGTTATAGCCACACAACTACAGAATCTTAGTTCCAAGTACCTCATTTTCTGCCTATCACCTCCTGTCTCTCCACCTCACTCTCTCTATGCTAATGTTTCAAGGATCATTCCTGTTTCAACAATCCATTGGGGTGGTCACATTTTCATGCTCCCTGGTGACATTACCCCAACACCCAACTGGATTCCCCACCTATCGTCATCACACACCCTACATCCTCAAACTACGAAATGGTTCCATCTCTACAACTTCTTTGCTCCAGAACCCTAGCAACTGAATGTGGATAGAAAATAAAAAAGAACGTACAACCACTCTGGCCTGTTCATAACAAAACTCCTTGAAAGAATTTCTTTTTTTTTTGGTGGTACTGGGGATTGAACTCAGGGCAAATGCTCTACCACTTGAGCCACACCTCAGTCCTGAAAGAAATTTTCATACTTCCTGTCTTCACTTCTCAACTTTTCTCTTAGACCCAATCAGGTTTCCCCTCCATCACTCCACCAAAAGGTCACTAAGGACCTCCATGTTGCTAAAGCCAGTGGTACATTTTCTGTCCTCATCTTACTTATCAGCAGCAGCATTTGACACCCACTTCTGCTTCATACACTTTTTCACTTGGCTTTCAGGCCCTCCTATGTCTTATTTTCACCCTTCTGCTCAATTTTTGGCTTGTTGATTGGATTCACACATTAGTCCCTCACTCTAAATCTAAGATAAATACTATCATTCATTCCACTTTAAAGATGAGGAAACCGAGTCAGAGAAGGTGAGTAATTTACTAGTGTTATAAATGATAAACCCAGAATCTATTGATCCCTCTCCATCTTCCACTTCTTCCCTCTATTGAATCGTTCATCTTCTCATCCATCCATTCCTCTAATCATCCATCTCTGAATCTTACTATTTCCCCATCCACCCCTTTCCCAATCCAGTCACCTGTTTCTTCATCTACCCATGCATCCAGGCATGCATGCATCCATCCACCCATCCTCTCACTCTCAATACATATTAATCATGGGCTGTGTAGGGAGGAAAGTTGGAAATGAGACATCATGAGACAGACACACTGACTTGCAGCTTGGGTGGAGATATTTACTCAATACTCAACCTTTCACCTTAGTGGCTTAGCAAAGGGGTAGAGAAGGGAAGGGGCACACAGGACATCCTTCAACCATTGCAACCTCCAGGGGCATCTGGTCTTGAAGTCCTCATTGCCAGTGGATGACTGATCAGTTGTAACTGCAAGAGACAGACACTTAGCTCCTCATCTTACAAACGAAGTGTCTCCTCCCTCCAAAATGTCCCCTTCCCATAAAGACCTAGGTGCCCCTGCCCCAAGAAGCCTGGCTTCTCTACTACAGCTCTTACCATGGGGAGAAGTCCTTTGCTGTCCATTTCTCTATCGCTGTCTTCACATCATTGGTCTGCTCCCCATCAAAGTTTCCACAGGCCCCACACAGTGTGCCAGCATGATCATTACCAACTATCACAGTCAGATGCCCATTGGTTCCAAGCGACACCTGGACCCCTTCCTTCTGGCGGACTAGTATGGAGCCATCTGGTGATCGACTCACAGACACAGATGTTAACACATCAGCTGGGAGATCCACTCGGAGACCGTTCACCTAGTAAGGGGTGGGGGAGGCAAAATAGAGGGGAGGCCAGAATTGCTGGGTGTTTCCACGATGGAGTCCCCAAGCAAAATAACTAGTTCCAGGAGCTAACGCAAAAAGGGAGGTGTTGAAAGAGGTGGAGGGAGGGAGGGAGGATAGGGAGAAAGGAAGGAGATAGGAAGAAAACAGAGATGGAAAATGGATGGATAGAAAGTCACACTAGATGCAGGCCTCGCAAATATAAGGACTGGGTCTCTGTTCCCCAGCACATGGCTTGGCACAGAGGAAGCAAGGATGAATTAATTCACAAAACCAATTTTTTCCTGAGTACCACCCAGCTACCAGGCCCTGATCTGGGTGCTGAGAACAAAGTGATGATTGCCAGGGTCAGGATCCTTGCTCATCTAGTGATGACAAAAGTTGTTTTATCACCTTATAGGAATTATCCTTCTGGGAGTGTGAAATACTGGTATGTGCTAAGCAGAAGGTGACCAGCAACCAGTGAAAACCATGGACATTGAGACTTTCACAGGTTTAGTCACAAAGTTTTGCAAGAGGAATTAAGCACATCCTTTATGATTCCATGAGGAGAGGACTTTTGGAAGCTTGTGCCTGGTTTCCTCTAGATTTTGCTTCACGTGCCTTTCTCCTTTGCTGATTTTGCTTTGTATTCTTTCATTGTAATAGTTTTCAGCTATAAGTGCAACTACATGCTTTTAGTGAATTGCTGCATTTGGGAATGGTCTTGGGGAAATCCTGCCATATCATGTGACTCCAACCTGACCAACCACAGCATTATTCCCTCCCTAGGGCCACAGTGATTCCTTCCACAGTGTGCATGTGATCCAGACTGGCTCCGGGCTCAATGAGATATAATTCTGGTTCTTTTGTTGGATCACTTTCTTCTGAGGTAGCAAGCTGGTGGAGTGTAGCCCTGGGGCAAGTGGAAGGTTGTCTTTGCCCCTGTGAGAGGAAAGTCTTCTGAGAATGATCCTGATTTAGTGGACAATGAATCTAAGAGTTAGAGATACAAACTCCTGATATTATTGCCAGAAAACCTGGACCCAGCCATTCCTGAGGCTCTATCTCTGCACTCTGGATTTTTCTAGTAATGTGAGCCAATCCATTGTCTCTGTTTTTATTTTTTTGCAAAGTAGCAGAGAGTCTTATTCAGAGTGAGAGAGCATGAGTGAAAGAAGGAAAGTCTACTCCCCAGTGAGGGGGAGGGAGTGGTCTCTGAGCAAGTTGTCTTAAGAGCAGCACCTGCAGTTCAGGAGCCAATCAGTTCATTTTTGCTTAAGGTAATTGGAATTTGGTTTCCTGTCACTTGCAACCAGTCTTGGTTAATACTATTGCCAAAACTAGTAAGTTACTTAAGTGTGTTTTTGCTTCTCCAGGACTCCGCCTGATCAGAGGGACTAAGTCTGAAATATTGAGACAAATACAAATCCAGAGACCAAACTGCAGAGACATGGATAAGGAAAACAGCAAGGCAGCCAGGAAGTAGAGCACAATAGGAATGACAAAGCCCAGGGGGACACATCAGCACCCACCACACCCAGGCTTACCCACACGCCCTTGCTTGGGGTCACAGTCACCAATCCATCCTGGAAGAAGATGTGGACCTCGCCCACAACCTGAACTTTGTCTTGGCAGGCCTGCACGTCAGCAACTATACGGTACCAGGGGACAGTGTTCTGTAGTCCTGGGCAGCGGAAAGAGAGCTCATAGAAGCCAGAGGAACTGATGGTACCATGGGCCCCATCGAAGGTGGTAAGGTTGGCGCCCACAGAGAGGGAGCAGAGACCACGGGCAGGCCAGCAGTCTTTGGCTCCCTCCTGGACCTCACAGACCCGGTCTTGTGGGCAGCCAGCTGCCTGGCATGTCAGGCTACTGCCTGGGGAGCAGGAACAGCGTTCGCTGCAGTCTGAAGTCAGTAAGGAGGAGTTCACCTGCATATAGAAAGGGCCAGGTTAGGGTGGTGCATGGGACTGCTGTGACAGCCCCAAGCCTCTAAGCCTCTGTAGTCACACAGGGGGAGTTTGTAGCAGATTGTCAGTAAAAAAATGAAATATCTGTTCCTTGCCCATGAATCTGAGCTGGCTCTAAAAAGGACTGTTTTCTTAATAAAACACAGCAGAAGCCATGCTATGCCAGGTTCCTGTCTAGACCTCACGAGACCTGACAGCTCACTTCACCCCAACTCTGCCTCTGTTTGGGTACTCTGCCCAGCCACCATGAGAACAAGCCTGGTCTAGCCCACTGGAGGGTGAGTGAACACATGGAACAGAGACTGCTCTTGCAGCTCAGGTCACTTGCTTTGGTTTGTCCCCAAGCTCTTGCAGGAGTTTAGTCCCCAAAGTCTTATGTTAATGGTGTGAAGAGAGTGGAAACTTAATCTAACTCTAGTGTTCAGAAGTCGGACCTCTGGAAGATAATTAGATTAATAAGGTCACTAGGGTAAAGCCCTCATGACTGATGCTTGGTGGCTTTATAAGAAAAGCATGAGATCACACATGGACACAGAAGCACACATGCTTCTGCCATGACGTGATACAGCTGTGTAGGGCTCTCACCAGATCCCATGCCATGCTGACTGGACTGCTAGCTGCCAAAGCTACAAGTAAGTTAAATCTCTTTTCTCCACAAAGGAGCCAGGCCTGGTATTTTCTTACAGTAATGAAAAGCTAATACACTACTCTAGAGTAGTAAGCCCTTATTTGATCCACCAGGTAACTACAGATACAAGAGTCAGTTTAGGACCAGCAAAACAACCATCCAGCCCAAACTTTGGGTAATGAATTATAAACAAAATAAACAGTTGTAAGTTTAAGCCACCATGTTTTGGAGTGATTTTTAACATTGCAAAAGCTTACCTTGTAGGTAATGGTGAGCAATGACACACCAGCGTCCTGGTATGCACTGCCCAGAACACATGACCCTGGAAATCATTTCCAGGAACTGATTTTCTCCACAGCCCTTTTTCTTTTGTAGCTACATCTACTACCTGATGATTTCATCAGATCTTATGACCACAAAGCAGTGTCTGATCCTCAGTTGGACCCTGGCCCAGAGAGGAGTAATTATTATAGATGACTTTATTGGAACAACTGGTGAAGTCTGGATGAATTCTACATAGTACATAATAGTATTGAGTTGATGTTAATTTCCTGGTTTTGATCATTGTTCCCTGTGTTATCTAAATGAATTTCCTTATCCTTTAGGGGTGGAATGGGGAGGCACAGGCACCTGTGGGAGTCCAGAGGAGGCAGCTGATCTAGCCTAGGGGGTACTGGACAACTTCCTGCAGATGGTGAGACCTGAAGGAAGGAGCAGAAATTTGGCTCCTCTTGCAAGTGTAATAAATAAGCACCACTTGACAAATAGCCTTGGGCTTGCTTCTCTATGGCACAATGTCTTTATTTGTAACGTGGGGAAAATATCAATAGCACCTATCTGATATGATTATTGCAATTATTAAAGGACTTCACATCTTAGGACTTCACATCTTAACAAACTTGATGCATAGAAAGATCTCAAAACAGCATTAACAAGAATAACTCAACTATTAAATTTCAAATCATATTATTGAATGATGATTAGCTGACTATCTCATTACACTATTTTGAATTGTTATTCTTTTCATTATTATTGGTTGAGATGGGATCTTACGTGTGGGTTGGCTTCTAACCTCAATCCTCCCAATTCACACCTCTGGAGTAACCAGGATTACAGGTGTGAGCTACCATGCCTGACTTGCTATTTTTTTTACTGACTGCTATGATCTGAAGGGCAAAGGCCCATTGCTCAGTGGGCATGGGTTGTACTTGGTTCTCAGATACCTATGGCACCAGGATGTTGATTAAATCATTCTACAGGTGAAGAAAAATGTGATTCAGGAAAGGAGTGTAGTAGGATAAGTATTGGCTTCCCTAAAGACATCTAGTCCCAATCTTTGGAACCAGTAAATGCTACCTTATATGGAAAAAGAGTGTTTGCAGATGTGACCAAATTAAAGATCTTGAGATGGAGAATTTATCCAGGATTATCTGGGTAGCTCCTAAATCCAATCACATGTATCCTCATGAGAGGAAGGTAAAGGGAGATTTTATGACACGCACACAGAAGAGGAGGCAGAGATTGGAGTGGTGGGGCCACAACCCAAGGAATGCCAATGACTACCAGCAGGTGATTCAGTGCCACCCTACTAACACCTTGATTTCTGATCTCTGCCCTCAACAACAGTGGGATAATTAATTCCTCTTGTTTTTAGCAAGGATGATTTATTATAGCAATCATGGGAAACTAATACAGGGAGGTTACCCACATCGAGTCACACAGCTGGGAAATGGTGGTGGCTCTCCTATCCTCCTTGAGCAGAAGCTTAGAGCACAGAAGCTCTAAGTTACCCTCAAGCTCCTCCACCTACCCCTACCCACTTTAAGCCCCCGCTCACCGGCAAGTATCGGCCATTATGGGAACAGCCACAGTCTTGGGCAGGAATGCAGACACCCTGGGAGAACAGGAAGCGGTCGTCGCACTCACAGCCCTCAAAGCAGAGGGCAGTGCAGCCAGTGAGGCCGGAGAGAGCTGCACAGGAGCTCTGGCAGGAGTGTGTGCAGATGGAGTAGTGGCTGTGGACAGGACACTGGAGAGCTGCAGAGAGATGAGGCAGAGAAGGGAGGGTGGGTCACATCTCCAGGAAAACTCTGGATAAATGATGGAACCTACTGCACACCCAGGTCTGGGGTAGATGGTTGTTATCATTTGGACATGAAGCCCAAGAAGGGCTTCTTTTTAGGGCTGTTCTCCAACTGGTGGATCCAATCATGGAGAGGTGAGGCCCACAGGGTTCTGACTTTTTCTTTTCTTGAAGTACTGGGGCTTGAACTCAGGGCCTACACCTTGAGCCACACCACCAGCCCTTTTTCTGTGTGTTACGTATTTTTGAGATAGGGTCTCATGAACCATTTGCCCAGGCGGGCTTTAAACCATGATCCTCCTGATCTCTGCCTCCTGAGTAGCTAGAATTACAAGCATGAGCCACCAGTGCCCTGCATGTTCTAACCTTTTCAATGGATTAGTTCATTGGTGGATTCAAAATTAGAATGGCGTATTGGGAGGTGGTACAAACTTTGGAGGTGGGACCTAGTTGGAGTAAGTAGGTCACTGGTAACATGTTCTTGTCCTGGCCTCTTCCCATCTCTCTTTGCTTCCTGGCCAGCATGAGATGAATAGGTCTACTCCACTATGCCCTCTCTACCATGATGCTCTGCCTCACCACAGGTCCACAGCAATGTGGCCAAGGTTTCACATGGACTAAACCATGAACCAAAATAAATCTTCCCTTCTAAGACTTTTAAAAAATCAGATATTTTGTCTCAGCAATGAAAAACTAACACAGAAAATTGGTACTAAGAACCGAGGTCATTGCTATGACAATGTTGTGTGGTTCACATAGCTTTAGAACTGGTGTGGGGAGGAGTTTGGGAAGATCTAGAGAAGTGAGCTAGAGGACTCCTTGAGTGTTATAAGCAGAGCTTCGTTGGCATTTCCAGTGAGAACTCAGAAGACTAAAAGGCCAATAGGAATTTGGACAGTAGAGGCTGTGCTCATTTCAGAAGGAAATGAAGACAAGTATTGGATCCAGACACTTTGAACAAATTTTTCCTCCTTTCAAATTGCTTCTCTCAAGTATTTGTCACAGTGACAAAAAGATGACTACCGCAGTGTTGCAGAGGACATGAGTTATGAACACAGCCCTGAACCCTGTCCAACTGAGCTCATCTCCAGTGGAACAAATATTAACAGTCCAAAGTAACCATGCTGCACTGGAGATGAACACAGTTTGGACCAAGATGTGGAGTTACAGATGGAGGTAAAGACTGGGACAGGAGAGAAAAAAAGAGGAACCAGGAAAACACCCAGGGTAAGACCATGGGCTCTCACTAAGTAATTGGCGTGGCTGTCCTGAGATGGTCACTGGGGTAGGGAAGGAAGAATCAGGTTTGGGGACAAATGGCTGATTTCTCTGGGAACACAGCAGGTGTTAGGTACGTAAGGACAATAAAAGGAAGGGTATCCAGGAGGCCCTGGACCCTTGGGGCTTGGAGTCAGGAGTTCAGATCTTGCAACAGTCAGTGTCCACCGTCAGCACTGGGACAACTCCAAGGTCATAGGGGTGGATGATGGTCCAGGATGGTCCAGTCCTGAGGAGACTGAAAGAGAAATAACTCTGCCCTGATGTATAAGGGGCCACTGCCTTGTGTTGGAGAGCCTGAGGGGGCATGTCCCTGCCCTGGGGATCTGAAGGAGAGGTGCTGTGCTGGATTGGTGGGTCTAATGGCTATAGCCTTGTGTCCAGGCATGCAAGGGGATACGGTCTTGGGGGTTGCAGTGAGACACAAACTCAGGATTTTGTGTGGACTTCCAATGTACCCAACCTCCTCTCAGGATAGAAATCTCCTCTCACCATAGAATGAGCTGGGTAGAACCTTAGGGAAGAAAGGAAGGGGTGTGAGGTTTGGAGAGCATGGGCTACCAAAAGGAATGTGAGAAAGCAGAGTCAGAGAAGAAGGAGAGAGAACAAAGGAAACACCACGCTGTGGAAAGGCCCAAAGAAGCCCTGTGACAGGCAGGGACTGCTCCTGAGTGACAGAGTGAGATCAGGTCAGGTGTCCTCTGAGGGACTCACAGACACTTACGGCAGAAGCTGTCTGTCCTCCAGGAATTCACAGTGGCACCAGATGCCTGACAGTCTGCTGTATAGGTTGCCAGGCTGCGACAGAGGAAGGCTTTGTCACCCTTATTGGCACACAGGTCGTACACACATTGGCGGAAGTATTCAGAGGGACTCAACACATTGTGACAGGACGCGAAGGGGCCTTTGGAGTCAAGGAGCTGCCCACAGGCCTCGCTGCTCTCATATGATTTTGTCTCCTCTGCCAAGCACACGGGACAGCCTTGGGACCCACAGCCCTCACTGCAGCCCTGGGAGGAGCTTGGCACCCGCCACTCAGCTCCAAAGGCCTCCGCGCTGGAGGCCACTGTGCCATCGGGCAGCACAAAGTCGTCAGTCCAGTTGCCGTTGAAGTTTCCACAGAGGCCACAGACACGTCCATGGAAGGGGCTAGGGATAGACATGAGGATATGGGCATCACCATCAAAGAGAAGCCGCAGTCTTTTGGTTGTCTGCAGAATCATGTTCCGGCCTTCTGCAGTCACACGCACATTGCCCACAGCCACAGGCAGGGTCACAGCCTCACCGTCCACGGTGACCTGGGTAGAAGGCTCAGGTAAGTTGGGAATCACAGAACCTCAGGTAATGCTGTGCCGCCCCCAGCAGGAAGCTTTGTCCATCTTTAGGAGAGATGCCTGAAGAGCAGAGCCCAGGGCAGAGTTGGGTCCTTCTGAATTCTATTTGGGTGGGATCAGGTTAAAATACCAGGATGGAGCCATTATCCCCACCCCTAACCCTCTAGGGTAGGTCTGTGTCTCCCTCTGAACCCTCAGATTGGGCAAGGTCCCCCTCAGATCCTACAGGTTGGGGCCTGGATAGAGATGTGTCCCCTCAGAACCCCAGGGCGGGTTCATGTCCACTCACCTGTGGTCCTTTAGCCAAGCTCACAACCTGGTCTGCCACAGTAACCAGCACACGTTGGGATTCACCAGCCTCATCTTTCTCAAGCACGATGGAAAAGTCCTCATCTCCAGGTTTTGAGTCACAGACTTGGGCCAAGACATAGGAGCAGGTGCCATGCAGGTCATAGACACGTCCATCAAGGGTGACGTAATGGATGCCTCCGCTGACCAGGCAACGGCCACAACCCGTGGGATAGCAGGCCTGGGTGCCGTCCTCTACCCGGCACTCCTCATAGGCTCCACAGTCTCCACCCTCCTGGCAGCTGACCTCACCACCTGATCCACACTCACAGAGCCGCTCACACTCAGGGCCAGGGTAGAAGGTTGCACCCAACTGGTAGTAGCGGTCATTGTGGAGGCAGCCACACTGGCCCACAGGCACACAGGTGTCACCACTGAGCACAAAGCCAGCATCACAGACACAGCCTTCTCGGCAGGTTGGCTCACAGCCCTCGGGTGCAGAGAGGGTTGGGCAGCTCACGGGGCAGGAGTCACCACAAAGCTCATAATGACTGTTGGCAGGGCACTGGATGGCTGTGGAGACACAACAGGTATCAGGCACGTGCAAGGATAGGAATGAGGGGAGCCCCCTAGTAGGAGACCCTGTCTTGGACAAACTGGGCACCTTTGGCAGAGTACCAGGTTGTAATAATTCAGAACATCTGGTGAGGTGGCTTGGAGGGAAGGAGGGAATTCAGTATGGGATCTCGGGTGTGTGTGTGTGTGTGTTTGTGGAAGACATGACCAAGTCTCTCTGACCAGGGTGTGTATTAACCTAACAAAGAACTTCTAAAGATTAAGTGACTCTGACCACATGCCTCTGAATAGAATAGCAAAATCAGAACTAACCATGGCTATCTCAGGGTGTGACTGTCACTGGGAACAGATGTATCTGGGGGACCAGTCAGCCTGAGTGTATTATCTGGCTGTGGTGACTGACATGACCTGGAACACCTGCTAATCTCTCTGATACAGTCTGTTTCAGGCTGTGACTCTGACAATGTGTGACTGATTGGGTGATGCTAACAGAGAAACTTGATTCAGCAGATGTACCTGAAGCGAACTGCCCAGGACTATGTGTGCAAATCTCTGTGAATATGCCTGGGGCCAACTGATTTCAACTGAGTGTGTCTGATCAGTATGTAATCTATCCAGATACTACAGGTATGTGGCCAGTTGTGTATGACCAGTTGTATTCCAATGTGTGACAATTGAGGGGCATTTGAATAGGTGTGGCTCACTCTTTCTGACCAGTGGTTCCTTGCTGTGGGACTTTGACCGGGTCAACCGCCAACTCTTTCTCACTAAGATTTGCACCTCTTTCTCACTAATTTATGCACCTGAATGCATAAATTCCCAGAGTGGACTGAACCCAGCGTTTCTGATCAGGTGTGTCTAACTGGGTCCCTCTCATTGGGTGACCTGACTTGGTGGATTTCAGTATGTGGATACTGAAGGTGCCTCTCTGACAAGTGATAACCTGCTCAGGTGAAGGAGGATGGGCCCTGAGCTCCAGGTAAGCAGGAAGTCTATTGTCTTAATATAGTGGGAGGCAAGATGAGCCTCCCACTATATTAATCATGCATGGATCAATACTCACGACAGAAATCTGGCCGCCTCCACTCCTCCAGCTGGGCTCCAGCTGCCTGACAGGCTGCCACATAGGTAGCCACGGCTGGACAGAGACCTCCTGGATGGCCTTGAGCCTGGCAAGCATCCAACAAGCAAGCCTCGAAGTACTGCGCCGGTGGCAAGAAGCTGTGACAGGGTGCCAGTGGACCATCGAGGGCTGAGATCACGCCGCAGGCGTCGGGGCCACGGTAGGGTTCCTGTTGCTCAGGAGTGCATGCCTCTGGGCATGGCCCGGGTACACACTCCCCGCAGCCTGCCTTACCGCCCACCTGCCAGCCGGCTGGGTTCCCTTCCACCGCTGCCAGGTCATCTGCAGGGTTTTTGTTGTAGTTCCCGCACAGGCCACAGAGGGCGCCCGCGTACGCTGCTGGCACGCGTAGGCGCACGAAGCTGTCCCCGTCAAAAAGCAGCGAGAGCCCAAAGTCTGTGGTCACCACCACGTCAGAGCCGCTCAGGTACGCGTGCAAGCGCGAGTCCAGCTGGAAGGGCAGATCCACGAACTCGCCGTCCACCTGCGGGAGTCGGGGAGTAGGGGACGGTGAGCGGCGCCTATACAAGTTCCAACCTTGTCTCCACCACCCACTAACTATGGGATCCTAAGCACATGACCTCTCCTGTTATAACAATAATTTTGGCTGAAGATATGGCTCAAGAGGTAGAGGGCCTGCCTGGCAAGCACAAGTCCCTGAGTTCAAACCCCAGACCACACACACACACACACAAATTAATAACAGAGCATCTGTAGACAGTGTCATTGGCCCCACCCTATTCTGAAGCAGGTACTTGAGGAAGATGATTTTACAGAGGAGTAAACCAAGGCTCAGAAATGCAGAAGGGGAAGGGGACAGGGGATGGAAATATAATGGAGGGGGTAGACTTGTCCAAAGTATACCATATGCATGTATGTAATTAGCACAATGAAATCCTGTCATGTTATTAACGTATGATAATTCAAAATTAAAGTTTTTAAAAATAAAGAAATGCAGAAGTCACCGCTCCAAGCCTTCCTGCTTCTAGGCCTATAATCTGAACTCCCTGCTAAACTATGAAAGGGGCAGGACCCATCCCTTACTGCCTCCCGCTCCCTGGGAACATCTGCTTCTGCCTGGTGCACACTCTCCTCACCTGTAGCTTCCGGGGCCAGCTGGCACTGAGAGTCAGGCTGTGGCTGTAGACATGCAGCGTGACACTGCGGGTGTAACTGACAGCCTGGCTGCCTCGGTGCTCGTTGACTACAGTGACATTGAAGTCCTCAGTCCCAGAGGGTGGTGCATTGCAGGGAGCACTCAGCAGATACTCACAGGTGCCTTGGAAGTCGAATTTATGCCCATCCAGGGTGACATAATGGGGGTCACCCCAGGCCTGGCACTCAACTGTGCTGGTGGGTTGGCAGCCGTACTGGCCAGAGGACAGCAAGGCACATTCTTCACCTACCCTGCAGCTGGCAGATGAGCAGACAAGAGAGCCACCACCAGACCCACAATGGCACCTCTGGGAACAGGTGGCGTCGGTCCAGAACTCACTGCCTGCCTCATAGTAGATATTATTGGCCCAGCAGCCACAGCCACCATCCAGGGGTACGCAGCGATCAACACTCAACACGAAGCCCTCGTCACACTGGCAGCCCTCGAGGCAGGGGCCCTCACATATAGCTGGTGTCATGAGGGGTGCTGGGGGTGGGCAGCTGGCTGGGCAGGGTGGGCCACAGAGCTCATAGTGGCTGTTGTCAGGGCAGGACACCTCTGTGGGTAGATGAAGGAATGAGAAAGACAAAGAATGGTGTTGAGTGGGGTCCAGGAGGAGACAGAGACTGAGAGAGATAGAGCAAGAAAACATAGACAGAGAAGGATACAGACAGAGAGGCAGAGACCCAAACAGTGACAAATAAGAGGTAGAGAATAAATAAGAAACAGAGAGACATAATCAAAAAGAAACAAATCAAGAAGTGCCAAGAGACACAGACAAAAAAGTAGAAAGAGCCAGGCACTGGTGGCTCACGCCTATAATCCTAGCTACTCAGGAGACAGAAATCAAGGGGATCGCATTTAGAAGCCAGATTGGGCAAATCGTTTGAGAGACCCTATCTTGAAAAAACCCATCAGGAAAAAGGGCTGGTAGAGTGATTCAAGGTGTAGGCCCTGAGTTCAAACCCCAGTACAGATTAAAAAAAAAAAAGCAGAAAGACCCAAAAGGACTGGAGTGGAACCAAACAAGCCAGACACAGATGAGACTGCAGCCCCCAGCCCTAGCTCTGCTCCCCAACACTCACCACAGCCAGCCTGTGTCCTCCAGTCCTTGATGACAATGCCAGCAGCCTGGCAGGCAGCAGCATAGGAAGCCAGTGCTTGGCAAAGTATGTCTCGGGCCCCACCACCCAAACAGACATCCAGGACACAGCCTTTGAAGAAGTCTTCAGGTGGCACTTGGGTGTGGCACGTGGCGAAGGGGCCACCTATGCTAGTAGGGTCCAGAGGTCCACAGAAGCCGGGACCCTCATACTCTTCTATTTTGTCCTCAGGACATGTTGGGCAGGACCCCTGACATTCATCCCAGCAAAATGGGTCCCATTCTGGAACTCGCCAGCTGCCACCCCAGATGGGTATTGAAGGAGCCAGTGTGCCATTAGGGAAGATGCGGTCATTTTGGGGGTTTTGGTCCATGTTTCCACAGAGCCCGCACACGACACCATAGTAGCTACTGGGAAGGGTCACCTCTACTTGCCAATTCCAGTCATAGGTGACTTGAAGCCCAAAATCAGTTATCAGCACAGCCTTTGATGCACCATGGGTCACTAAAATACGCCCACCAGCAATGGAGACAGGCAAGGCTGTCAGCACACCGTTCACCTGATGGAAAGATGGAGGCAAACATTGTTCTGTGAGGTGGGGTGGCCCCAGCTCTGGCCCCTGTCTCCCTCCTCCCTCATCCTGCCAGGGGCCAGGAGTTGCCTAGGCATTCTGCACAATTGACAGTTTTATAGTCATTGTACAAACATTATGAACATCTGGTCTCATCCAGGCCCTGGGGACAAGATTTCACATCTGATTCTTTTTTGGTTCTCTCTCTTGATCTTGATCTCCCTCTCTCTCTCTCTCTCTCTCTCTCTCTCTCTCTCTCTCTCTGTATCTCCCTCTCTCTTTACCTCTATCTCCCTTTCTAGAACATTCCCTCTCTTTGCACTCTCTCTCTCCATCTGTCTCTTTCTTTCTGCCTCATGCCTGCACCTCTCCAGATGTTCCCTTACTCACATATGCTAATCTGGGTCAGACTCTGAACTGAGTCCTTAACTTATACCACCTTGCTGTGGGATGTGGGTTTGCTACCATACCCATCTCAAAGATGAGGACACTGAGGCCCATGGAGTTAAATCACTTTGCCTAACATCACAGAGTTCATACAGAGGAGGGCCTGGATTCAAATGCAGGTCTAAACAAATCAGCAAATGCTGATGGCTACTCAACGCCGTTTAGCAAAGGCCTAGGCTTCATTCCCAGGAAAAGGTTGATGGTTTGCTGTAATTATTGTTTCTGTTGCCATGTAGTTTCAGACCTAGGTGAAGGAGACCTTTGAGCTCATGACTGTGACTGTTGGGGTGCTTGGAGGACCATCCTGCTAAAACTTACCCGGACTTTTCCGACCTCATTTTTGTGGATGGAGATGTTGGTACCAAGGACAGATACGGTGACCTCCTTCGCATAGGACACAGCAGGGTTGCCCCGATTCTCATTCTTCATGGTGATAGAGAAGGATGGCAGGCCCTTGGCACTGACCCCTGGGCAGTCAGTTGTGGCCAGCACATAGTTGCAGGTGCCCTGGAAGTCAAAGGCCCAGCCATCGAAGGACACATAGTGAGGGTCTCCCCACAGCCAGCATGTAGAACTATAGTTGGGCACACACACGCCCTGGCCATCTTGGTCTTTGCATGTCTCCTGCGGCCGGCAGGCTACACCATGGCATGGATCTAGGGGAAGAGAAGAGAGGACCTTGAGAGGCTGCTCCTCAGCACCTGCCCCCATCTATGTCAGGACTATTGGCTCTGAAGATTGTCTCAGGTGAGACCAGATCTCAGGGCTGTTATACATGATACCAGGGTCCTCACATCTAATACCCAGACCCAGTAGTTTGCTGTGTCCAAGACCAGGCTCTGGGAGTCCCCCAAGTCTGACACTCAGTCCTATGGTGGACAGTGTCTACAGTCCAGGTGTCATAGGATCCTATACTGAGACTCAGGTCCTGGATGTCCTTGCTACCAGGTCTCAGGCCCTAAGGTCCCTTCCTCCAAGACCCAGGCCCTGCAGTTTTGTGTCTGAGATGCACGTCCTTTGCAATAGGGGACCAAAGTTGAGACTTGCACTCCATGGGTCCCTGGGTCTGAGATGTCAGTCCTAAGAGCATCTATGTGTGAGACCCCAGCCCCAGGTTCCTCTATGCTTGAAAGCCCAGCCCCCTGGTCTCATTCCCTAGACTAGGGTTCTGGGAGATTTCTTGGTGAGAAGCTAGTGCCAGAGGTCCCAACATTTCATGACCTAGTCCTCGGTCCCCATATCTGAGTCTCATGGCCACCATGAGCAGTTATTGTGCCCAGCAATAGGAGTCTCATTTGTAAGGCCCTGCCCTAGAGGGCTTCTGTGTCCAAGGCCCCATGCTAGTGTATCTGTGACTCCAGCTTTTGAAACCCCAAGTGTCTAGGAAACCAGCTGTCAAACGTTGGGCTCTGTTCCCTGTGCCCTTCCCACCAGGAATCCAGCTGCACAGCTAAACGTTGCCGGTAGGGGGTGCTGAAGTCACTCCAGGAAGGAAGGCCCCTCTCCCTGCTCTGCATACAACCTGATGTGCAATCCCAGCTCCTGTTTGTGGCATGTGGGACTCAGGCTCAGTGGTCTCCACACACAGGAGCTTCCCAGCTACTCACCTGAGTGTCCCAGCAGGACAGCTTCTCACTAGGTTTTTCCATCCCCTCAGTGGGGGTTTCATTCCTGCAGGATTCTGTGCCACCCAGGGGGCTACAGCAGTGCCCTCTTCAATGAGCTCAGAGGCAGCCTTGGGGTGGGGCCCTTCCTAATTCCTGCTTTCCTTGTATGTTTGGTGTTAGCCATAAAGGGGAGTTACTCCCTATGCCTGCTGGGATTGTATTCCTTAGTGCTCCCTTTACTCTCTAATAGTTAACCCTCCGGTAGTAGTACTTTTTTTTTTTTTCCAGTGCTGCAGAACCCAGGGCCTTGCATGTGCTTAATCAAATACATGAATGCAAGCTTAATCTTATTCCTATTCACAGAACAGTGTGGTGTCTGTCTCCTGGCTGGACCCTGACCAATGTAGACAAATCCTGGGCACCCTGATATTCCTGTCATCAACCCTGATGTTTTATCCCCTTATTCTTACTCATTGCCGGGTGGGGGGAGGTCTCTGCATATCACCCTAAGAAGCCAGCTCAGGTGGGGCTCTATGTTCCAGATTTAGACTGGGGATCTTCTGAAACTGTACCCCTAGAAATCCTCCACTTGAAGGGGTCCCCATAGCCAAGGTCCTGACATGTTGGGATCTCTGCAACAGACCTGGGAGCTTTTGCCTGAGACCTTAGAGCTCTGCTTCCTGCCCATATTATCCCAGGAACCCATGTCTCTTGGTACTGGTGTCTGAAGCCCAAAGCCTAATCCCACGAGCCAGTGGCCAATAACTGCCAGTTGCCTGGTTTTGGAAAGAAGGCTTTCTTGGAGCTACACCCCTTACTTACATAGTCTGTGGCTCCTTTCAGGCCACAATGGCAGAAGTGAGCAGTTGTGGCAGTCTGTATGGCCTACAAGCTTATTTTCTTTTTAGTGGTCCTGAAGTTTGAACTCAGGACCTCACACTTGCTAGACAGGCACTCTATCACTTGAGCTGCTTCACCAGCCCATGCAAGCTTAATCTTATTCTTTCTCTTTCTCTATCTCTCTCTCCCTCACCCTCCCTCCCTCCTTCCCTTCCTTCCTTTGGAAGTACTGGGGTTTGAACTCAGGGCCTCATGCTTTCTAGCCAGATGTTATACCACTTGAGCCATGCCCCAGCCCTATTCCTCCCTTATTCCAAGTGCCTCTGACATCTGCCCTGGTAAACTTGCCCCGCTCCCCATAGCCTGGACTCTCCCCTAAGGGTCCTGACTCCCAGACTGAATGATCTCTACCCTTGGCTCTGAGAAACCCTGTGAGATCTGATACCTCAGTCCTTAGCCCTGTGTACCTCCCGTCATGAACCTACCATGAAGTCAGACCACCCTCAGCTCTCAGTTCCCTGTCCTCTGATCCCAACCACACCAGCCCAGCCCCACACACCCTAGTACCTTTGGTAACGCAGCTCAGGACACCTCCTGAGGGCTCGCACACCTGGCCCGGCTTGCAGCTGTGATCCTGGCACACCATGCCCTTGCTTGCATGGCACGCACACTGCTGCTGACAGCTGTCAATGAGGACCGTCTGCTCCGGCTGTGGAGACAGAGGGCATGCCCGTCAGACATCCCATGGGTGGAAGATGGCTCTGGAATCTCTAGTGTTTCAGGCAGAGAGGACCAGTAGGCACGAAAGGAGAAGCTCTCAGTGGGGTGGTCCCTTGTCAGCGAAACTGAGGCACAGCATGGCTTTGGGCCTAGTTTACTCATTTATTCATTCACTCATTCATTCATTCCCAAATACTCCCTATATGGCTGCTGTGTAGGAGAAAGAGTGCAGGAGCAAGGTAGGGCAAAGACTCGGGTTTGAGCCTGGCTCTGCCACTTCTGAAATGCATGCCTCTGGACAATGTCACTTAACCTCTTTATCGCCTCAGTTTCCTCATCTGTAAGTTACAGATAACCACAGCACTGACCTAAGAAAATATAACTGAGTGAATGATATGTGTAAAGCACAGGTGGAAAGGGGGTGGTGGTAACGGATGGAATCAGATTGGGAAAATACTGATTATTTTTGAAGCTAAGTGGAGAGCAGGCAGAAGGAAATTCATCCACTATTCTCAACTGCTGCATGCTTGAACATTTTCATGCTGGGTGCAGTGGTTCACGCTTGTAATTCTAGCTACTTGGAAGGCTGAGATCGGGAGGATCAAGGTTTGAGGTCAGCCCACGCAAATAGATCATAAGACTCTGTCTCCAAAATAACCAAAGCAAACTGGACTGGAGGTGTGGCTCAAGGGGTAGAGCGCCTGCTTTGCAAGTGTGATGCTGTGAGTTCAAATTCCAGTCCCGCAAAAAGAAAATTTTCATAGTAAGTCACCTATATGGATATGTAAATATATGTAGTGCGTGCACAGCAGGCACCATCCACTTCTCTGCTGTCATTCCTGTCAGCATTCGTGTGAGAACAACAAAGGGTTGTGAGGGTCTTGCCCCCTCAGAGAACTCTTCTTTTTTTTTTTTTTTGGCAGTACTGGGGGTGCCTCATACTTGTAGACAGGTGCTCTACCACTTGAGCCACTCCACCAGCTATTTGTGTGTGTGTGTGTGTGTGTGTGTGTGTGTTGGGTATTTTTGAGATAGGGTCTCTCAAACTATTTGCCCAGGCTGGCTTCGAACCATGATCCTCCTGATCTCTGTCTCCTGAGTTGCTAGGATTACAGGCGTGAGCCACTGGCACCTGGCACAGAGACGTCTTAGTCCTGCCAGGCAGACAGACTTTAGACAAACACACATTCTAGTGAAAGGACTCCTTGTGGGAGAGTGGAAAGGGGAAGCAGAGGGTGTTAGCAGGTAGTATAGCAGGGACAAAAGTCCCATCTCTGTGGTCATGAAGGGTACCTGTTCCCAGACCTGGAATATCAAACTAAGGCTTAAACTGGGGAGCCAGTGGAGGGTTTAAAACTTCACGATCCATGGTCATATTTACAAAAGTCTTTCCCATTGCTATGTGGAGGGTGGATCCAAGGAAGCAAAAGTGGGGGAGTGGACAGGATAAGGTAGACCAAGATGGAGTCAGGGGAGGGTAGGCAGAGACTGAATGGTCAGGCTGTGGGAAGGATATGCAGTATATGTGTGTGTGTGTGGCAGGGAGAGCCTGGGGTTCTTCCCTGGATGGCTGAGTTCTTACCTCATAGTAGACTCCATTGTGGAAGCAGCCACATTCCTCGATGGGCACGCAGGTTTTGCCATTGTACAGGAAGCCAGAGTCACATTCACAGCCCTCAGCACATCCACCTGGGCACTGCAGGGGAGCGCTGAGTGCAGAGCAGCCCAGGGAACAGGTGTCAGCACAGAGTTCATAGTGGCTGTGTGAAGGGCATTCCATCGCTGCAAAAAGGGGGTTGCCGATTAGAGTCTGGGTCTCTCTTCTGTGCCTCAGTCTCCCCTCTCCCTATCCCTCAGTGTTCCCTCACTCACGACAGAAAGATTCAGTCCTCCAGGACTCCACCTGGCCTTCCACTGCCTGGCAGGCACTCACGTAGGCATGAATGTTGGTGCAGAGAATACTCAGGTTCCCTCCCCCCAGGCAGAGATCAAAGACACAATCTTCTAAGGGTCCCTGAGGGTCAATCAGCTTGTGGCAGGCAGCCAGTGGCCCTGTGGGGTTGGCAAGGAACCCACAGAATTCCACCTTCTCATATTTTTCCTTCAGCTCAGTGCTGCACTCTGTGCAGTCCTCGCCCGGTTTGCAGTCAGGCACTGGTGCGCAGGGTGAATCTGGTACCTCCTCCTCCCAGGAGTTGCCAAATTCATTGGGGTTGGCTGCCTGGGAGCCATCAGGCTTCTGCAAGTCATCCTTGGGGTCACCATTGTAGTCTCCACACAGGCCACACATCTGTTGGTAGTAGTTGCCTGGGATAGTGACCCGTACATAGTATGCAAGGTCATAGGCCACACGCAGACCAAAGTCCGTCTCGATCACAACATCTGAGCCGTGCTGGTAGACATGGACCTCACCATCACCCAGCACCAGGGGCAGGTTCATGTTCACACCGTTCACCTAGGAGACAGGGGGTGCCAAGCTTCAGAGGGTACACTTTGTGGTGGTCTGTCCCTCAAATGTCTGTGCCTGACATTGAAGATCTGTGTGTCCTCACCTCTCTGAGACTCAGTTGTCATATTTGTGAAGTACTTATGACAATAGTCTTACAGCAGGCTGAAGAGTGATACCCAAAAGAAATGTCCACACAGAATCTCAACATGTGGCCTTATTTGGAAAAAGGGTCATTGCAGGTATACTTATGATGATGACCTTGAGGTGAGATCACCCCAGAATAGAGTGGGTCCTAAATCCAATGACAAGTTTCCCTATAAAGCCAGAGAAGGAGAGGACAGAGAGACACACAGGAGAAAGTCATGGAGGGGCCAAGGTAGGACTGGAGTGCTGCTGCCTTAATCCAAGGGACACCTTGAGCCACCAAAAGCTGGAAGGGCAAGGAAGGATCCTCCCCTAGAGACTTTGAAGGGTTTTGGCCCTGCTGCCACCTTGATTTTGAACTTCTGGCATCCAGAACTGTGAGAAAAAAAATTTTTTTTGTAGTATTGGGATTTGCGTTCAAGGCTTCACTCTTGCTGGGAAGGCCCTCCACCACTTGAGCGACACATCCAGCCCTTTTTTTGGATGGGTGTTTTTGAGATAGGATTTTGAGAACTATTTGCTTGGTCTGGCCTTGAAACATAATCCTCCTGATCTCTGTCTCCCAAGTAGCTAGGATTACAGGCATGAGTCACCGGTACCTGGCAAAATTTGTCATTTTAAGACACCAAGTTTGTGACAATTTGTTAAGGCAGCCACAAGGAAATGAATTCAAGTTTCAAAGGAGCAAATACCTCACCAGCTATCTTTCATTTTAACTTGCTACAGTCATTTATGATGCAAGGACCAACCCTGGAATCACTTGCTTAGGCACTAACACAGGCGGTCCCTTACCCCTCTGTGACCTTGAGCAAGTGGTTCACCTCAATCATGTTTCTGTTTCTTGTCTATACAGTGGGAGTCACGTGCCTAGCCCATAGGGCGGGTGCCTGTGGGTTCTGATAAATTATGTTCTGTAAAGAGGTGAGAAACAAGCTTGCACAGAAGGCAAGCTCTGGAATTAGCAGCTAGGACTAGAAGTTTTCATTCTGCAGAATAAATGAGCCAGGCGCCAGTGGCTCACACCTTAATCCTAGCTACTCAGGAGGCAGAGATCAGAAGGATCGAGGTTTGAAGTCAGCCCCTGGCTAATAGTTCTTGAGACCCTATCTTGAAAAATACCCAGGCAAAAAAGGCACTGGCAGAATGGCTCAAGTGAGAGAGTGACTGTTTAGCAAGAATAAGGCTCTGAGTTCAAACTCCAGTACCACCAAAAAAAAAAAAAAGTGAGCACTGAGGGTTTCTGATCTAATCACAAGTGGGTAGAAAGTCAGGCTCAATTCCTAGGGCAGTGAACTTCAAACCCATGAGTGGATCAGTTGAAGGCTGTGGGCTCCAACAAGGCCTGGTAAACACATGCCCAGTTTACACACTTGCTGGTCCTTCCTCATCACCTACACAGTGCATGCTAGATCCTTTCACAGGTGTGAGGAATCAGGGAAGAAGGCAAGAGAAAAACATGCTCTTGACTGAGTGCCCTAAAATATAACCAGCCAAGCAGGGCTGGGTAGTGATTAAAGGCAAGTGACTTGACATCTGTGCCTCCGTTTCCTCCTCTGTAAAATGGGCATAGTGATAGTTTCTTCCTCAGAGGGAATATGGGGATTCAGTAAGAGGAAACTAGCAAGAACCCTAGGAACTCCCGAATGTTTGGCGTTAACTCCATGTCAGGAGCTATGCTAGGAGCTTGAGGTATGTTAGGGAACAATGGTTATATGCCTGCATTTTCATGAGATCTCTAGGGAAATCCTTTCAGTGTAGCTGAAATGCCAGTTGCTGGGCAGGAACAAATCCTTCTTGATAAAAAAAAAAAAAGCACTGCAGCATGGCCTAGGGTCCAGTGTGTTGTTTCTGACCACACAATCCTGGGTTCAAATCCTTCCTGTTATGGTTTGAATATGAAAGGTCCCTCATGGGCTCATATTTTGAATGCTTAGTCTCCCTGGTGGTTGTGCTGCTTTGGGAAGTTTGGGAAACTTTAGGAGGTAGAACCCAGCTGGAGGATGTAGTTTCCTGGAAGGTGGGGGGAGGCAGGCACTTGGGGGAGTCTTGTCTCTGACCCTTTCTAGTCTCCCTTTTTTGGCTTCCCGTCTGCCATGAAGTGAACAGCTCTCCTCCACCTCACACTCCCACTGCCATGATGGCTGGTGCCGAGCAACCATGGACAGAATCCTCTGAAACCATGAGCCAATATAAATCATTGCTTACTTAAGTTGTCCAGGTATTTTGCTCATAGTGACAAGATAGCTAACTGATGTGCTGCCTTTGCAGTACATTGGGTCAGTAATGGGACCCCCACCCTCCTTGCAAATAGAAAATGAAGTGCTTCGCAGCCAACAGGGTCTGGGGTGGTGTGTAAAATCTGTTCTCATGTTCTTACTTTACTGCAGTTCTTACAGTTATGAAGGGCTAATGGAGTCACGGCTTCCTGCCTATGGATGGGCCACCAGGGAGGTGGCTGTGGCAGGGACCAGGTATGACAGATGATAGGAAAAGAGGGAAAGATGAGAGGTCCAAGGAAGAAACTGAGGCAACAGAGGAAGGTTCCAGGTCCTTGAGGGCTCCTGCCCCTGGCTTCCCACCAGCACCCCCTCTCCTTGGATGCCCAGATTCCCGGATACTGGTGCCTCTCACATCCTCCTGGGCTCTGTCCATGCCCCACCCACATGTCACCTCCTCCCCCAGGGTCCTCTGCTATGCCCTGCCTCTTTTCTCACCGTGACCTTTTGCTGATTCTGCTGCAGCTTCAGGGTGTAGTTTGCCACCTTGACTGTGATGGCCTTGGTCACACTGACTTGTCCATTGCCCCAGGCCTCGTTCTCCTGCAGGACTGTAAACTGGTGCAGGCCAGGCCGGGTTCCACAGGTCTGAGCCAACACGTACACACAGGTGCCCATGAAGTCGAAGCGATAGCCATCAAAGGTGGTGTAATGAGGGTCTCCTGACGCCTGGCAGGTGGTAGTGCCCACAGCCACACATCCCAGGATACCATTGGAGGGCTGGCAGGCCTCATGAGGGCCACAGGACGAGGGCTCACAGGACACCAGGCCACCCTCCTGGCAGTGGCAAAGGGAATCACACGATCCAGGGTGGAAGGTCTGGCCTGGTAGGTAGTAGGCACCCTCCTGGACGCAGCCACAGGAGGCCAAGGGCACACAGGACTCACCGCTGAGGACATAGCCATCATCACACACGCAGCTCTCTCGGCATTCTGAGCCGCAGCCCCCGGACACTGGGAGGTCTCCACAGGACAGAGGACAACCGTAGGAACATGCCTCATAGTGGCTGTGAGCCGGGCAGCTCAGGGCTGTAGGGAGAGGACAGAGGCTGTCAACACTAAGAATTCTTTCTTTTTTTGGGGGGAGGGGGTTGGGTTGAACTCAGGTCCTCACGCTTGCTAGGCAGGTGCTCTACCACCTGAGCCACTCCACCAGCCCTTTTTTGAATAGGTATTTTTCAAGATAAGGTCTCACATACTATTTGCCCAGGCTGGCCTTGAACCATGATCCTCAGATCTCAGCCTCCCAAAAAGCTAGAATTACAGCATGAGCACCGGCACCCGGCTGTCTGTAATATCTTTAATGATCTTATTCGAGTTGGCTATAAATTGCTGATACGGCATATATTTTAAACATGCATATACGTGTCATGTTGTATAATCTCTGCAGTGTATTTGTGAGTGTAGAATCTCTAGTTGTAGTTTCTTCTGAGTGGCAGCTTTTTAAAAGCAAAACCAAACAAAACAGAAAAAAAATAAGAAGATGAAAACTGAACTAAATCAAGTGTCTTTCTGTGCTGTCCAATAAGGTAGCCACTAAAATTAAAATGAGAGTGCAGATTTAGTTCCTTGTTCATGCCAGTGCTGGTTCAATTTTCCAAAAGCCACTTCTTGTCTCTGGCATGACCATCATTTGCAAGGCAGAGCCTTGACAAACTGGGGTTTGCCTGCTCTTGCTAGCGGAAGCAGAGGCAGGCAGCGCTCCACTTAACCACCTGCCTGACAACTGACAGATGTATAATGCTGTTGTACATCATCCAGCCTCAGCTGATGCCACCAGCAGACTGCAAAGAGCAACAGAGCTGGCCCGGATGAAGAGAACCAGACTCATAACTAACAATAGACTGATTGTTGTTTCAACCCACTAAACTTTGGTGTTGTTTGTTATGCAGTAAAAGCTAACAGATGAAGTGATTTAAAAAAAAAAAAAAAGACTTTTGGCCAGGCTCATGCCTGTAATCCTAGCTACTCATGAGGCAGAGATCAGGAGGATCACAGTTTGAAGCCAACCCAAACAAATAGTTCATAAGACCCTATCTTAAAGATACACAACATAAAAAAGTGCTGGCAGAGTGAATACCTGCCTAAAAAGCATGAGGCCCCGAGTTCAAACTCCAGTGCCACCAAACAAACATACAAAAAAAGTTTGCCAACCCTTGCTGTACCCACATCTGAAGCAAGGCTTTCAACCGATGACCCTGATAGGCAGGGGAGGGAGATGTTGTAAATGGGTGAAGTAGGCCAGATAGGGACAAGAAGACCTGTGGAGAGGACCAGCCTCCCTCTAAAAGCTGCACTGTTGCTTATCTCTGAATGATAGCTGCCATATAGAAATCAGACTTCAGTTCAGTCATTATCACAATATTGACTGCATGCCTATGGTCCGTGACTTCCTGTCATGATCCCAGGTACGTAACTTAAAATTGCCAAATCTCAGTTTCTTCATCTGTGAAGTGGGTATAAACACAGTCTCTTCCTCACAGGGTTGTTATAAGAAAGAAAAGAATCAATGAAACAAAACTTACAGGTTAATGAATAAACACAAGGCTGAGCCCCGCCCCCAACTTGTCATTCTCGGTACTTACGGCAAAGTTCCTCCGTCCTCCAGGGGTGCACAGTGGCCCCGGCAGCCTGGCATGCAGCAGCATAGGAAGCCAAAGCATCACACAGTACCTTGGACTGGCCTGGCAGCAGACAGAGGTCATAGACGCAGTCACGCACGACATCCTGGGGTTTCAGTGTGTTGTGACACTCCCGGAAGGGACCCGCAGGATCAGCAAGGATCCCACACTCCTTCTTGCTCTCCAGCTGCTGGGCCACGAGGGAATCTAGGTTGGGACAGTCACCCGCCTCAGTGGCACCACAGCCAGGTCTTGTCTCCACTTCCCAGCTGTTTCCGAAGGCCAAAGCATTGGAGGCTTGGTCTCCACTTGGTTGTGCAAAGTCATCTGCTGGGTCCCCATTGAAGTTCCCACAGAGCCCACAGAGGGCTTTCGAATAGCTGCTGGGCACCTTGGCAGTCACATAGGCGTCCCAATTGTAGGTGACAGTCAGGCCAAAGTCTGTGCTCACCACAGCGTCATTGCCCTGGCGGAATATCTGCACCCTCCCATCTGCTGCTTGGAAGGGCAGGTTGTAACGGACATCATCCACCTGGGTAGAGACACAGGAGGGCCAACTGGTCAGGGTACTCATGTGCTGTTGCTCCCCCCTCTCTCACGTGGCTCTGGCAACTCTGACACCCTGTGATTCTCTTGAGCACATTATGGTTGGTCCCATCTCACGGCCTTTGCACTTGCTGTTCCCTCTGCCTGGCGTACAATCCATCATTCTCCATCCTTTAAGAATCTCCATCCTTTAAGAAGTACCTAACCCTGGGCCTTCAAAGCCTACCTGATCTGTCTCCCCATTACCTGAAGTCTGCTAGGTCTCCCACTTTAGTTTAGTCTCATACCCTTTGCATTTTGCCCAAAACACTAGCCACCAAGCTGGCTGGTTGGGCTTTATTCATCAGAGCTTGTTTTAAATCCAAGTCTCTTGCCTGGAAGGTCTTGCTTGACCTTGATCTTGGCCACCTTTATGCCTCCACTATTCACATCACTCATAGCTCCAGCTACTCTGGTCTCCTTACTGTCTCCCTGAGTATATCAAGTGCACTTCCAGCTCAGCCCTTTGCATCCGCTGTGCCCTCTTTCTGGAACACCACCTACCATTGTCCATCTGGCTACCTCCCCCTCATTGTTTAGGTGTCATCTTTGATCTAAACTCCTTATCAGGGCCTCAAAGGTCTTAGATGATCCACAGGCCACTACTCCCAGTACAGCCCCAAGCCAACCCCTGCAATCCAGTCATGCAGGCATTTCAAGCCCACCAAGCTCAGATGAGCATCAGGGCTTTGCACTTACTGCACACGTCCTGCTAGCAACATTCCCACCCTCATGCACCTCCCTAGTCCTTGCCTGCATGGACAGAGGTCCTTCACAATCCACTTAAAATCGAACCTCTCTACCCACCTGGCTCTACTTGTCCCCATCTTTCTGACCTCATCTGCCAACTACTTATTCTTCTAGTCCCTCCTCCTTGGCCTTGGTAATGTTCTGTGCTCTTCAAGTTCAGTCCAGCCTCAAGCATTGCACTTACTGTCCCCTCTGCCTGGGAGCCTCCACTCTTCATCTGGCGGTCCCCTCCTTTGTTCCTTAGGCCTCACCTGAATTCAAAAGGCAGCCCCTGCCTCATCTCCCCCTCACTCTCTGCTTAGTTCCTCTGCTCCAGGCCTGCTGGTGTTCCTGCTGTTCCATGCCCTCCTCAGCCTTTTCCTGTCTCAGAACCTTTGTTCTCTTATGCACCTTGAACTCACCACTCACCCAGCCTTGACCTCAAGTAGGTGACTTAACCTTTCTGTGCCTCGGTATCCTTACCTAAAATGAACTACGTCATGTGGTTTCTGAGAAGAGGAAATGAATTAATATGTGCCTTGAATTTAGCACAGGGAAGTAACTTAATACATTTTCATTATTAGTAGTCAAAATGTCATTTCAGAGAGACAGGAACGTAACTCTTAATAATTACGCCCTCTGTTTATATAAAGCCACTGTATACCAAACACTAGGGTTTACAGGTAAACTTTCCTTTACCCCCAGGTTGTGGGAATTCGAGGTTAAGGCCCGTATGTGAAGGGAATGGAAAGTCTCTCCTTTCCCACTCATCCACCCCCTCCATTGTGCATTACCCCAAACTGCACAATTATAATTATTAGCTTTTGTCCCAACAACCCCTCTTCTCCATTTTACCTATTTTTGAAAAGAGAAAATCAATGGTTCTGTACTTCTACTGTGTGGTAGACCCTGTGAGAATCCTCTGCCCAGAAATTTATGGCTAGGTAGCCCCATCTCTGAGCCCCCAGCCCCACCTTAGTCTGGAAAGTTGCATGAGGGTTTTGGTTAGCCTCCTCCTCCCACCCGGCACCTGACAATTATCTAACATGACATCGCACTTTCTGAAATCCTCCTCCTCTAGAAAATGTACAAATCCATAATTCAGAAGGTTCATCACAACAACAATGGTAGGAAGAACCAAGCCCTCTTTTAAACACCCTACAGGTATGAACTCAGCCAGTCCCCACAATCATCCAGTGAATGGTGGATCTGGTGGGTTCCTGAGTGGGAGCCCTCTTACCAGGCTTTGACAGAGGATGACAGATGGGAGAGATAGTCACACAGCCTAGAAGGGCACTGAGCCTTAACCACTTAACCACAGATCTTTTAGCAGACCCCCAGCTTCGACCTGTATCTGGAGCCACTAATCTTTTTTGGGGGGGTGGGGGAGGGAGTGTTGGAAGTTCCTGCCCTTCCCCAGTCCCAGGTGCCACGTAGCTCACCAGCACTTGGCCAGGGTACTCCCTGCGCACAGCCACGACCACACCGTGGACTTCCACACGCACGGCTCTGGTGTAGCTCACAGTCTGGCTACCCCGATGCTCATTTTCCACCAGCACCCGGAAGGCGGGCAGTGCCTCGTTCTGGTTACACGATCCCGCCAGCAGGTAGGTACAGGTGCCCATGAAGTCGAAGCGCTTGCCATCAAAGGTCACATAGTGCGGGTCCCCGGACGCCTCGCAGGTGGCGAACTTGTAGGGGTAGCAACCCAGGAGGCCATTCTCCACGCGGCAGCGTTCACCTGTCGGGCAGCCCTGCGTGTCCTTGCAGGTCACCTCCTGGGTGCTGGCGTCGCAGGTGCAGCGCTGCCGGCACTGCTTATCAGCCCACACCACCTGACCCGGTGAGAGCAGGCGGTCCTGGTAGACGCAGCCACACGAGGAGGCTGCCACACAGGCCCCACCACTGGCCAAGAAGCCCGGGAGGCACACGCAGCCCTCCACGCACGGGCGATCGGAGCAGTTGGCAGGCACAGCCTCTGAGTTGCAGGTGGCCGGGCAGGCGGGGCTGCAGAGCTGGTATTGGCTGTTGGCTGGGCAGGACAGAGCTGTAGGGGGGACAAGAGAGGGTGGGTCAGGCCAGTTGCAGCTGGATCCCAAGGGCTACCAGGTGGGAAGGGACATGCCAGGACTCTCCCAGGCTCTGCTGCTCACTCAGAGCTGGCACCTCCACCCTACCTAGTGCTCAGACCCTAGCTACTCGTCTCTACTCATTCCCTATACAACCAATCTGGAAAATCCTGTGAGTTCCATCTTCAAAAGCCACCCAGAATCTGCTGCCCCATCCTGTGCACCACAGCAGCATCCGGCCTGCTCCCCTCCTACCTCCTGGGTCTGTTCCTCACATCAGACAGAGGTACCCGTGAATACCAAGTCAGACCAGGTTCTTCCCATTCTGAGCCCTCCTATGGCTATATCTCACTCAGGGCCCAGGAAGTCCTCCCACAATTTATCCACCTTCACCTCACTGCTCTCATCTCTCTCATTCCTGCTCTGGCTCACTCTGCCCCAGCCTCAGTGAGGTCCCTGCCTCTGATCCCTGGTTCTCAGACTCCTACCTCAGGGCCTTTGCACTGGCTGCTCCCTCTGCCTGTAACACCCTTCCCTCAGAAAGCCATGGCAGCATAAGGTGAGGCTTCAGAAACCCAGATGCCTTGGCTTCAAATCCCAGTTCTCTCTTTTACTCATGTGTGATCATGGAGCAAATGACTCTGATGTCCCTTGACTCAGTTTTCCCATCATTAAAGTGTGATGATATAGTACTGACCTCACTGGGTAGTCGTGAGGATTCAATGAGTGACTCTATGCAGAGGTACTCCCTCCATGGATATCACTGTCATTACTTAGCTGACTCCATTGCCTGACCCTGATCTTGATCCAAGGTCACCTGCTCATAAAAGTCTTCCCTAACCCCTCACTTCATGAGCGCCCATACACTTTTGTTCTATGAACTTGCTTTTATTTGCTCTCTGAAGATATTTCATGGCTGATCTGTTACTGTCTGTCTCTCTCTTCTCTCTGCTGGAGAGGGCTCCAGGTCGGTCTTAGTCACTATTAAATCCTCAGCACCAAGAACAGACCTGGCCCACAGGAGATGCTCAGGAAACACTACAGAGGTGAGTAGGGAAGCGGATGAATGAAATCACTGCTTCGTCTTTTGTGCCTGGCATAGGGGATCTGGGGTGGGGAGGAATACTGGGGGGTGGGGACACAGCGGTGGTGTACACAGTTCCAAGATAGCACCAAATTCCCCAAGTGACTCAGGAACCTCCTCTGGCATCCCATAGTGCCCTTGGACTTGTCTCATCTCACCCTGACTTTTCTGCCTCTGCTTCCTGCATCCTAGCCCCAGCCTCTGCTGACTGTCCCTGTCCAGTGACATTTGCCCCAATCTTAGGTGCCTTGTGGCAGAGCCTGACTGTCTTGGCCATCACTGTGGCCTTGACATTGACCAGTATCAGTGCTCAGATATTGACCAATGCCACCCACTCATATACTTCTACCCAAAGTGTCACTCACGGCAGTTGACTTGTGACCTCCAGCTTCCAATAGAGATGCCCAGCTCCGCACAGGCCTGGGCATAGGCACTGAGGCCACGGCACAGGCTGAGTCGCTCCCCACCGGTCACACACAGGTCATATACACAATCTTCCAGGAAGGGCTTGGGCTCCAGGGATTCATGGCAGGCAGCAAAGGGGCCTTCAGTCAGAGTTAGCATGCCACAGAGATGGTCACCCTTGTAGTGCTGAGCCTGGCCTGTGGTGCAGGCAGGACAGTTGTCTTGGCAGCCATCATCACACAGGTAGTCCCCATCATCCAACTTCCAGCTACTGGCGAGCTCTACAGGGTCCTCAACCAGCTCCTGGTCAGGTGTGAGGAAGTCATCAGCAGGATCACCGTTATAGTTGCCACACAGCCCACACACCTGGCCTTGGAAGCGCTTAGGTAGACTCAGCGTCAGCTGGCAGTCCCAGTTGTAGGTGACCACTAGCCCAAAGTCCAGCTCCACCACACCCTGTGTTCCACTCTGGTACACGCGCAGGCGACCCTCACTCAGACACACTGGCAGGCGGGAGCGCTGGTTGTTGATCTGCAGAGAGATGTGAGTGGTCAGATCCCAGTGTGTTCTCCCCTTCCACCCTTCACCCCCCCATCACTTCCCCTGTTCTAGCCACACTGGGATTACCACCATGTGAACCCCAAAATCATCACCCTTGCACCTCCTTTGACCCACATTGCCCTTTCGCCAGATGTGGACATACCTCACTCCCTCCATGCCTATTAAATACTTGCTCAAGTCACTGAGTTGGGGAGGCCATCCCTGATCTCTCTATTTAATAGCACTCCTTTCCTACTATCCTCCTCCTCTGTTTTCCCCATCACTTTTCACCTCCTGATACATAATTTGGAAATTGTCCACATTCGTCAACTGTCTAACTGCATGACAATGTCAACTCCTCTAAGACAAGGATTTTTCTATGTTGATCCCAGTTTTATTTCCAGGGCCTACCACAGTGCAGAATAGAGGCTCTTAATAATCACATGACAGCCAGGCACCAGTGGCTCACGTCTGTAATCCTAGCTGCCCAAGAGGCAGAGATCAGGAGTGTCAAGGTTCAAACTCAGCCTGGGCAAATAGTTCGCAAGACCCTATCGTGGAAAAACCCATCACAAAAAAAGGCTGGTGGAGTGGGTCAAGGTGAAGGCCCTGAGACCAAACCCCAGTACAAAAAAAGAAAACCAAAAAATATATCATATGCTATCTGTATGCCCCAGGCCATACCTTCACAGGTTCCCAATGCACTGGGAGGGACAGGCCACCATAAGACAGTGACAACTCAGAAGAGTCAGGGCTGGGATGGAGGAGGCTCAAGAAAAGTGGTCAGGACTAGGTTGAGAGCCTAGAAAAGGGCCATATGCAACCTTGCCAGTCAAGAAAGGCTTCCCAGAGGACGAGACAGCTGAGCCAAGCCTTAAAGAAATCCTAGCTTCTAAGGAGGCTGAGGCAGTAGGCTTGCAAATCTGAGGCCTGCCTGGGCAACTCAAGATCTTATTTCAAACTAAAATAAAAAGAGGGCTGGGATGTAGCTTAGTGGTAGAGCTTGGCTAGCATGTGTGAGACATGGGCTCAATACCCAATACTGTTTCTTTTTTTAAAGGACTAATACAAGAAATTACTTGTGGTGAACAGGGAGAAAAGCATATGAAAACAAATGTAAAAATAAGACCCCTCATAATATGCTTTTTATTTTGAGCTGTGTGACTGCTTCACCTATTTAAAAAACTTAGTGGAGAGTCTCTAAGGCGTAAAGCAAAGCAAAAGAAGGCTTACGCAGAAGACTTCTGACTCCATCTGATTCCATCAACATGCCGTTCTTAAAGAAGCAAAATTAATCTGTGATGGGCAAAAATCAAAACTGTGATTGCCTTGAGCGATGGGCTGAAGGCTGTGGGAAGGAGGGCAGTAGGGAATTTTCAAAGTGATGAAAATATTCTGTATCTTTTTTTTCACTTTTTTGAGGGGTTGGGGGCTTGAACTCAGGACCTTGTGCTTGCTAGACAGGCACTCTGCCACTTGAGCCACTCCACCAGCCCAATATTCTGTATCTTAATGAAGGTTTGGTTACATGTTTGTGAAAATTCAATTGAACTGTATACTTAAGATTTGTGAATTTTATTATATATAAATCTATGTCAAAATTAAGCAAAAAGAAATGTAAACTATTGTGTTCTAAGCAGGGTGCTGGTGGTTCACACATGTAACCCTAACTACTTGGGAGGCTGAGATCAGGTGGGTTGTGGTTTGAGGTCAGTATGGGTAAATAGGTCAAGAGACCCCCATCTCCAAAAGAACCAGAGCAAAATGGAATGGAGGTGTAGCTCAAATGGTAGAGTGACTGCTTTGCAGGTGTGAAGCCCTGAGTTCAAACCTCAGTCCCACCTCTCCATCCTCACTCCCCAAAAAGGAGGGATAGAACAGATGGAGGTTTACAGATTGGTAATGTGATAATCATGAGTGTCTAAAATGTTTAGAATCCAGGGGATTGTGGGTATCCCTCATCCAAATATCTGAAATCTGAGATTATCCAAAATCTCACACTTTTTGACAAGATTCCACAAGAACAAAATTCCACTTTTGATCTCTTGTGGTGGGTCACAGTCAAAACACATATGCACTACAACTGTTGTATAAAATTACCTTCATGCTATGTGTGTCAGGTGTATATGAAGCCTAAATGAATTCTGCATTGAGATTTGGCTCCTCTCGCCAAGACATCTCCTTATGTAGATGCAAATGTTCCAAAATCTTAAAAAAATCTGAAATCTGAAACACTTCTGGTCCAAAGCATTTCGTACAATGGTTTTTACTTTTTTGTATGTTTTAACATTTTTGTAATAACATGGTGGAAAAAAGAAAATGATTCTTCTAGGCCTTTATTTGTTTTGGCTGAAGAGTAGTGCATTTACCAGAGGTAGAACATAGACTCAGGCTGGGCACCAGTAGTTTGAGCCTGTAATCCTAGCTACTCAGGAGGCAAAGATCAGGAGGATCGCAGTTCAAAACCAGCCCAGGCAAACAGTTCCAGAGACCCTATCTTGAAAAAATCCAACACATAAAAGTGCTGGTGGAGTGGCTCAAGTGGTAGAGTTCCCATGAAGCCTTGAGTTCAAAACCCCAGTTTTCAAAGAAAAAAACCACAGATCAGGAGCCAGCCTTTATTCACATGCTCTGAATGCTACCTCTTCCTGGATTTTGGCCTTTGGGAAGTCACTCATCTCTTTCAACCCCAGTTTCCCCTTCTGTATCTGTTCAGAATAACAACGCCTACCCTTCAGAGTTGTTGTAAGCAGTAGAAGCAATAATGAAAGGAAAGTGCGAAGAGATAGACCTGCATACTGAGGTACTCACTCACTTCAGTAATTTTATCACTTCAGGAATCCCCTACTGTTGAACATTTATATTATTAGTTTTTTCTTTTTGCTATTTTAAACCATGTTGGCATGTTGTCTTGGTAACCATCTCTCCCAGCATCCTTAAAATTTCTAGAAGTGAAATTGGTGGAAGAGAGAGTTTTAAGGTTCTGATACTGATTTTCAAATTCTTCCCTCCCCATAGAAAAGAGCTTGAGTTTGGGGTCCTAACCCCAGGGCTTTGGCTCCTTCTTAAGTTTGGCAGCTGGTGTTAAACCCAGAGCCTTAGGACACTCACCCGGGCGTAGCCAACTTCTCCTCGGACCAGTGACACAGAGTGGCTGTAGGCATGCACGGTGACCGAGCCAACATAGGAGACTTTGCGGCTGCTTCGGTGCTCATTCTTGGCTTCCACACTGAAGGCTGGCAGGGTCTCATCCAGCCCACAGAGCTCAGCCATTGTGTAGGAGCAGGTGCCCATCATGTCATAGCGACGGCCATCAAAAGTGGTGTAGTGGGGGTCACCTTGAGCACGGCAGACAGCTGTGGACTCTGTCAAACAACTGGCCTTCCCTTTCACCACCTGACAGCGTTGCCCAGCTGCACACCGTACACCTTCACAGGAGGGCTCTGCTGGAGGCAGCAGAGCTGGGGAGGGAAGAAGAGTAAGAAATGTCACAGGACAGAATCCTGGGGTCCTCCTGCTGGAGTAAGTTGAGGCAGTTTACTCACAACAGCCCACATTAAAGTCAGGAAAATTGAGGTGTGGAATCTCACAGGGAGACAGCTACTCAGGCTTCCCCCAAACCCCAGGGTTCCTTCTTTCCTTCCTTCCTTCCTTCTTCTTCTTTTTTTTTGTGGTACTGGGGTTTGAACACAGGGCCTACACCAGCTACTACACCAGCCCTTTTCTTGTGATGGGTTTTTCCAAGATAGGATCTTGCCAACTATTTTCCAGGGGCTGGCTTTAAACCATAATCCTCCTAATCTTGGCCTCCTGAGTAGCTAGGATTATAGGCATGAGCCACCAAGCTCCACTGACCCCAGGATTTCTAAGTTCCTAGTTTAACACAGCTTGACCCAGAAGAGTAACAGCTAGTGAAGAAAGAACAGCCACTGAAATATTAATTTGTACTTTTCTCTACCTTGTTCCCCCTTTTCCCTGACTTTCCACCAGGCTGGAAAGGCTAAGGGATTTCTTTTAAAAGACAGACTTTAGCAAAATAGAAGCAACCTTGGTATAGGCTGCCTTGGTAGGAATCCTGGTCCACACCTAGCTCTGTGACACTAGGCAGATACTTTAAATACTCTGTGCCTCAGTTTCCTAAATTGTAACATGAGTATGATAATAATTTCTTTATAGGGATTGGTGTGGGGGTGTCAGGATTTAATAAGCTAAAATATAAGTAAGATTTGAAACTGAACCTCGCTATTAAATTGAATGTTACCTGTTACAATTAACCACCAACCCCTCCCCCATTCTCCTATTCAAGTCAAAAAGTGTCCCTTGAAGTTAAGTGGCTTCCATGTCCTGGAGGACAGGGAGGAGGGGCATTTTTTCCCTGTTTCTAGGGTCCAAGCTCGGAGAAGACCATAGGAAGAAACAGCCCTTCCTTGTCAACCTTCTAGTCTTAAAAACTTCTAGTGTTAAGAACCATGAGGCACCATGGCTCATACCTGTAATCCTAGTTACTTGGGAGGCTGAGATTGGGAAGATCGAGGTTCAAAGCCAGCTCAGGCAAATAGTTTGCAAGATCCCATCTCCAGAATGAGCAGAGCAAAATGGACTGGAGTGTTGCTCAAAGCTGTAAAGCCCTTGCTTTGAGGATGGGAAGCCCTGAGTTCAAACCCCACTACAATCCTGTGAGGGAGGTGCAGTTACTATCTGCACTTTATGTATGTGAAAACCAAAGTCAGAGAGCTGGGATTTAAATCCTGGCACTCTGTCTCTGCCTTCTGCCATCTGCCATCTGCCACATGACACCTGCACAGGGCCAGGTGCTATTCATTAACTATGTCAAACATGTAAAGTACCTGGGAAGGTCCCCGCTATATTGAGAGGTACCCGCCTAGCATGGTAGTCATTATGATTCTGTACTTTTAGACCTCCTGAGTTTGGCCACCTGGTTAGCAACCAGTATAGCTGTACTAGTTACTAAAATGTCAAAATATTTCCACATTGGTTGGTAAGAAGCTACTGATCTGACACCTCCCCAAATATCCTTCCATTTGGCACCCTAGCTCTCCCCTAGGACCTGTTCCTCAACCTCCCCCCAACCAACAGACAAAGGCTGATGTCAGCCTGGTGGGAGCTTCCTGCTGCAGTGCTCCGAGCCACCCTGGTTGCTGAATACTTATTGTTCCTGAAGATAGGGGAAGGGCTGGGAGGACTCAAGAAAGGATGCCAGGGAGGATGGGAGAGGGATGGGCAGCCTGGATGAACCAGGAAGCCACGAAGAACAGCTAGGTAGAAAAGGTATGGCCATGTGGCCAAGGTCAGGTGTCATCTCCCATCACTCACTCTCACTGCAGGCAGCTTCTGTAGCCCACAGCCTGGGCCAACCTGAAGGTGAGCAGCCTGAAATTGGTAGTAGCCTCAGCTGTGTGGATTCTGTCAGCAGTGCTGAGGTCCATTTCAGCATACAGGAGAGAACTCACTGCCTGGCACAGTCACCCAGGTGAGCATCATCCCTAGCACCTGCCCATCCGTGGTCATCTCATCAGCAGCCTTTGTCTGGCACACTCCTGGTCACATAGGCAGAGCTATGGGCTGCCACATCCGGGATCAGGACTAGGTAAGTGTCATAGTGTATGGCCTCTGTGCCAAACAGCATGACCTGGATCCCCCACATCTGCAGACAGGTAGAGTGGCCAAATTGGCTGACCTCCAACTCAACCACATTCAACTACCTGGAGCCCGTTAGAGCCAGTGGTACCCCATGGTTGTAGGCCAAGCTCATGGTCTGTCTGGCCACAATGTAGACCAGATTATAGTGGGACAAGGAGGCCAGAAGGGGGACCACATAGTGGGTGCCCCAGACTGACTTAAATAGCAGCTGCTGTAGTACATATGTTTCTGGGCACAGATGTGGCCAGGGAGCACAGCTACAGAGTTATTGGCTGTGACCTTTGACCCAGGAAAATCAGCCATCCTCTGTAATTGGGCTACTTGGTAAGGTTGCAGAGTCACACTAAAGATTTTGCCAGCTGGGTAGAAATTACCCTGGAATGTCACTGCTCCCTTCAGGTTGATACTGACTGAGGCACCTGCCTTGCCGGGCACCACAGCAAACATTTTTGGTTGAGGTGCTGGGGGTTGTGAGCACAAAGTTCTCAGTTCCCAGGGCTCAGATGGGCCTCAGCGGTGTCAGCTCTGCAGTGCTGGGCTTAGCATGGAGACAGTGCGGTCAGAGTGGACTGACCATGACTGACTCCCTAAGCCTCACTGTGACCTTCTGGGAGGTGATGGTTGTCTGGCTGAGGACGGAGACCAAGCCAAGGCTTTCTGACAGACTGGTGATAAGGAGATGGAGGTGGACTGTGCTGACCTGGGCTCATAATTCTGCAGGAAGGTCATGAGGAATTCCTCCCCCAACCCAGTGTTCCTGAATCCACTGCACCTTCCTGGGTCAACCCTTAAGAAAATGCAGTTGTGGGTCACTTACCTAATCCTTCCCGTCAGAGAACCAACCCCTTGCCCTGTGCCTGGAAACATTGAAATAATTGCTCCGCCTGCCCCTGCTCTTTCATTTACAAGCCTTTCTGGCTTACCCCCCATCCAAAAAAAAAAAAAAAACTGAGCACCGTGGACAAGACTCTCAAACTCAAATGCTGCAGAGACAGAAAGTAATATGTAAGAGACAGTCAGGTGGTGAATTTGGAAACCAGGGCATCCACACAAACTAAAGTAGGTTGTTGCTATTAGCTTTTGCTGGTGTTATTATGAAGGATTGGGGACTTGGAAAAAAAAAAAAAGCTAAACTCTCCCATCTTTTTTGTTTAAGAGAAACTGGCTCTCTGAATTTTTCCATGAAATCTCCAACCCCAAATTTTTTGAAAGATCGTGGCTGGACTCAGCCACCAGTATGATGTCTGTTTTGATAGGATTTGGGGGTTTGGGTGAAAGAGATGAAAGGGACTGTTGGGGTGTGGACAGAGTGACTCCTAGAAATTGAGGGAAGTGAGGCTTCTCAACACCCCAAATAAAGAGAGAGAGAGAGAGAGAAAGGGAGAAAGAACATCAGAGTGTGGGATTATGGGATGACTACCTACTGAATAAGAGGGGCTTTGAAGGATACCCTAGCATACCATGGGACCAGAAAATTGGGACAATGAGCACTGTGAAAGTTACCTATGGGACTGGAGGTGTGTCTCAAGTTGTAGAGCACCTACTTAGCAAGTGCAAGACTCTTAGTTCAACCAGTACTACCACCAAAACAAAAGTTTTGGCGACTTCTGGCTACAGGACTCTGATATTCCATCTATCCCCTGTTACCTTGACTTCATCCACCACTCTGGTTCGGGACAGAAACCTGGGAGAACTGGGGACAAATCCTCCTCCAAAAATGATTTCAGAGAAATTTCTCATCATTTCAAAATGAGGCTCAAGTCAAATCCTTAGGTGAATTGCAGAAAAGCAAGAAAATCATAGTTCTTGCACACTTGAATTTGAGGACTATAGGTCTTTTTTAACCTGCTTCCAAGAGAGAGAGAGAGAGAGTGCGAGAGCGAGAATGAGAATGAGAATGGAGATAAATAGACCAGTGACACCATATTTCACTACAGAACCTGAGGGTCTCCCTCAGCTAGCCTGGGGAGGACAATAGGAGGTGGGTTTGTGGAGGTGACACAAGTAAAGGATGCTGATTCAGGCGTGCAGGGTTTCCCAGGTTAGAACAAAGATATGGATGGAGGCTCAGTCTCACTTACCCCACAGAAGGGTTGCTCCAGCCCAGAGCGTCCACCAGCTCCTCAGGGATCCCATGCTTGCTGTAGGGAAAGAAAGGGGGTCATAGGAGGTTTATCTGCCAGTTCTGTTGGAGGCTGTCCTAGAGAGGACAGAAGGGGTTAGTCTCAGAATAAGAGTCACCCGGGTACCAAGAAGGCTGAGATGGGAATGGAAGTTGGGTAGTAGGATCAGGTGGGCCAGATTCAAGGCTGTATGTGTGTGGGACTTTAACTTGCTATCCCATTTCCACAGGGGACCACAGCCCTTCTCACCTGTAGGTCCCTGGAGCTGCAGGGTCAGCCTGTGGACGGGGCTATATAGTGGAGTTTCTTGACCCCTCAGGCCACACCCTGGAGTTGCCAGGCAGGTGATGCCAACTTCCTGGAGGAGGCTGCTGATTTCAGGGCCAGGTGGAATGGGGAGCCCGGAAGGCCCGCGAAGGGTGGAGGATAAGTCTGGAGCCTGAGTTCTGAGAGGAGTGTGAGAACAGCTAGTGGTTGTACCCTGGGGGCCTATGGGAAAATCCAGTCCTGGAAGGGTGGTGTCTCTGAGGGAGACAGCTGGGGAACAGGGTGCAGAGAACCTGGGTTCCTGGCTAGGGGTGGGGTAGGGTGGAGGAGTGGGGTACGAGATAGGAGTTGGCATTTGGTTATGTTTGTTGGCTCACTGATCCCTGCCGGAACAACAGCAAAGGGCCCATATCCGGGTCCTGGCTCCTTCCTAGTTCCCACAAGCTGATCCCTGGTTCTCAGTCACCACCCACATCTAGTTTCCAATCACTGGTAAAAGACAGGTGTCTAGGGATGGGCAGGGGTCTGAAGTCCTGACCCAGGCCATAAAGTTTTGGCCCTTAAACCACCAGGGCCTACTGAGTAGCTCATCTGCAAAGTGGGCACATGGAAACTAGCCTTTCTGGGTTTATTGCTCTTCCCACAGGATGGTTGGTGACAGGTAGGCTCTTCTGTGGTCCCATGTAGGGAGCAAGGTGAGAACTGGCCAGAGGTCTGTTTCCTCATTCTGCTCAGTCATGCAGTTTCACTTCCTGAAGAATTATTTGGTTTGGGAGTTTTTGCTTTTTGTGGGATCCCCTCCCCACCGCCTCAGAAGAGAACTAATTGGCTGAATAGGTTTTGGGGGAATCAGTGCTTCCCTATTAGCCCAGAATTTGCTTGAGATGAGAAATGGAGGGCCAGGCACACATCAGGAGGCAGTTTGGGCTTTCTGGGGTGAAATGGACACCCCAAGGTTCTGACATGACCCATGCCTAGCTCTCCTCCTCCCTATCACAGGGGTCATTGTTTGACAAGGAGTCTCCCCAGGAAACAGCAGCTGCAAAGCCTGGGTGTTGTCATCTGTCAACACCAGGCAGCTGCTGCTCTTAGGACTCCTCCTTTCTTATCATAGACCTCTTGGAGGTCAGGGTGGGGGATTTTCTATCCCTGGGACTCTGACTACCCCCACCCCCACAGGGCAGGTTACCAAAGGGAAAGACAAAGGCTCAGCATTGCTGAGGGACTTTAGGGCCCTAAAGTCAACCAGGAAAGTGAAGCAAGTAAACAGGAGGTTGGATTAAAGCCAGTGATAACAAGAATCAGCAGGGGTGGAGGACCCATGTGGAGTAGACAGATGCCCGCTGAAGGTCCTGAGGAGAATAAGGCCTGGAAGGAGGGGACACTGGGATCCTTGAGAAGGAAACAGTTGTCAAAATCCACTTTATGGACATCCCTCTTATCTTCTGAGACAGACAAATGAGAGGCAAGAAGCAAAAAATTACGATGAGCTTTCAGGGATGGTTCTGGCCCCTTTTCTATGCACCCCTCTAAGCCTTGGGTCTCCCCAAAGAAAACCTATCCCTTTCAAAATCCTTCATTGCTCCCTGCAGCTGGAGTCCCAAGAAACAGGATAGTGGAGGAAATGTCAAAAATTAATAACTCTGAATTTGGCAACCACCTCAGACCTTTTCTGTTACTCCTTTCAGGGCCCAAGGAGTACATGTGTGCATTTGTTTGTATGTGTGGGTGTTAAGGCACACCCGAGTCCTACCCTGTATTGTGCTATTCTCAGGAATCCCACTGGTGACTCTGGAAATAACCTCTGGGGACACTTCCTTATGGTGTCAGAGAAACGGCATCAGAACTCACTGGCAGCCTTGTTCTGAACCCAAGCAAGAGTATTTGTGTCTGAGCCTTCCAGCTTCTCCCTGTGCATGAAGGGGCAGGATGTGCACTGGTTATGCCATTCCAGAGCCCTGAGACCTTCTGGCTTCTCTGGGCTTTATAGACCAGGGCACAGCTGGGGAGAATTTCTTTTCCCAGATAAATTCTCTGGATCTCATGATATGATTTCTACATACACAGAAACTGTTTTTCTAAATTCTCCAATGACCTGCACCTCTGTAACAGCTGACACCAATCCTTCCTCTTCGAAAGTGTCTAATGCCTTGGCTTCCATTATATCACTTTCTTTTGCATCTTGTGTAACTTTGGTCTGTTTCCCACAAGTACCTCTTTAATGTTGGTAATTCTCAAATTCTATTTACTTTCTTTCTGTAATTACTTTTTTTCTCTGAGGAGATCTCTACCGTGCACAACTATGCTATCTAAATAGGATGTTCTGAGATTATGAGATTCTATATTTTGTGCTGTCCCACGTGGTAGGCAACTGAGCTAATGAACTCATGTGATTATTGAGTGCTGGGAAAGTGATTAATGGGATGGAGGGGCTGAATTTTTAATTTAGTGAAATTTGAATTATTATTAGCTTTTTGATAGTATGGGAGTTTGAACTCAAGTCCTCACACTTGCTAGGCAGGTGCTCTACCACTTGAGCCACTCCTCCAGCCCTTAAAATATCTTACTGAAATAAAATACACATATTAATAAGTACACAAGTCATAAACATATACAACTCATTGAGTAAACACACCCTTATAATCTTTACTCAGGTCAAGTGCTCGAAGAGAACATACCAGCATCCCAGAAGTCCTCTTCATGCTCCCTCCCAATCACTGTCCACTCCCTACCTCCCACAGGTAGAGAGGCTTCTAACACCACAGGTTCTTTTGGTTGTTTCTGAATTCTGTGTAAATGGATACATATGTCTGGATTGTTTTCTCATTGGCTTCTTTCCCTCAATGGCATCCATGTCCGTGTAACTATGTTTCATTTTCAGCAGTATTTTTATATGCTACTCAGTTGTATAAAAACACTAATTTACCCATTCTACTAATGATGAACAGCTCCTTTGGGATAAAGGACTCTTGTCTTTTGGTGCATTTATGCACAGTTTCCTTTCAGATATGGTGTAAAGTTCCTAACTCTAGATCTTCTAGGTCATTGGGTTCAGCTTAAGATACTACCAACACATTTTAAGACTAATGTACCAATTTAAACTCCCACAGTAAGTGTATAGCCCATTCTGACTGCTTCACAACTCCACCAATACATTCTAGAAGCATAATGTTACAGGGTTGTAGTTTTAATTTGCATTTCCTTGATTGTCAACAAGGTTGAGCATATATATGTTGGCCATCTGGTTCTCTTTTGTGATTTGTGATTTCAGTAATGCTCTTAATTCAAGTTTTTTGTCCATTCTATTTGCTTGTCTGTCTTATTGATCTGTATGAATTCTTTGTGTATTCTGGATGCAAACTGTTTATTGGTCATGTTTTAGAAATATTTTCTCCCACTCTGTGACTTGTCTTTCAACATTCTTAAGGATGAAGACTCCTTAATTTTAAGTTTAGTCGGTTTATCAATCTGTATTGTTTTAGTAACTGACTTTTCTTGTGATTATATTGAGTCTTCTCATTCATGGAGATGGTGTTTATTCCAGTTGTTTAGATCTTAGATTTATTTCACTGGTATTTTGAAATTTTTTCTGCATATAGATTCCCTACATGTTTTGTTAGATTTCTACCTAAATATTTCATTTTTTTCTCCAATGCAATTATAAATGGCAGTGTGCTTTTAGTTTCAGATTCCACACTTCGTTGTTCCTGTTTAGAAATACATTTGATTTTTGTGTGTTGATTCTGTTTTCTGCAAACATACTGAACTCATTTGTTCTAAGAATTTTTTGTAGGTTCCATTTTTTTTTAAATGCAACCATGTTGTCTAAAAGCAAGAACAATTCTCACACTTTTCTGCGTGTGTGTGTGTTCAATATTTTTAAGTATTGGTTTTGCCTTATGAACTTGATAGAATGTCTACTACTGTGTTGAATAAGAGTGGTGAGTGAACATCCTAGTCTTTTTCCTGATCTGCAAAACATTCAGTCTTTCAGCATTGAGTACATTAGCTGTTTTATGAGGTTGAGGCAATTCCCTGCTACTACTAGTTCGCCCAAAGTTCCATCATAAGCTAGTGTTCGATATTGCCAAATCCATTTCTTGTGTCATATAAATTTTCTTCTCTAGCTTATTGATATGGTGGATTACATTTATTTGCTTTTTTAAGTATTGAGTTAGTCTTCCATACTTGGGATAAATCCCTCTTGGTTATGGTATGTAATTCTTGGTATATAATTCTTTTTACATACTGCTGGATTCAATTTGCTAATATTTTCGAGAATTTTTTTGGTTTAAATTCATGAGAGATACTCTCTAATATTCTCTATCCCTGTCCTCTCCTCTTCCTTTTTTTCCTTTTTGTAATGTCTTTACCTAGTTTTGGTGTCGAAGTAGCACTGGCCTCATAGAGTGAGCCAGAAAATGTTCCCTTTTCTGCTTTCTGGAAGAAATTGCATAAAACTGTTTCTAATTTTTTAAGTGTTGGGAAGACTTCTCTGAGAAGACTATCTGGACCTGGAGATATCAATCCTGAGAACTTTTTAATTAGAAGTTGAGGCTGGGGGTATGACTCAAGTGGTATGGTACTTGCCTGGCAAGTACAATGTGCTGGGTTCAATCCCAGAACTGAAATAAATAAACAAAAAAAACAAATAAATATAAATTCATCTTCTTTAATGAATATTCAGATTGTCTGTTTTACACTGGTTGAGTTTTTAGGGTTTGTGAGTTTTAAGGAATTGATCTA